GGCGGTTACGTGTCTCTCGAACAAGTTGTGGGTGCGGTCCACCTTAGCAATGAGGATCAAGCTGTTGAGAATATCCACGATACTCTCAAGGCATACTACAAGGTTGCTCTGAAGAGATTTACAGACAGCGTCATTCTCCAGGTAGCCGAACGTCACCTTCTTGGGGTCAATGGACCCGTGAGGACGCTGTCACCTGAATTCGTTATGAACCTCGAGGATAGCGAGCTCGAGCATATAGCCGGTGAAAGCTATGTGACGTCGAGCAAGAGAAACGACTTGGCTTCCAAAGTGGATCGATTCCAGAAAGCCTTGCAAATTGCAAAGTCAGCCAATGTCTAGGTTTGCAGCCCAAGGATCAGGCATGACAGCAGCTTCAATACCTGAAATACCGAGCCGAATGCTCGCAATGACATTCCTGTTTCTGGCGTACCACAAGATTCATGTCAATGCTAGGTCTGAACTCATCATTACTTATGTGGCTCTTCCGTCTGTTTTGCAGGCCATAATCGTGGTATTCGTCCACTTAGATTAGAATGACCTACTGCGTTCAAAATGATAGTTTCTTTTACGATAAATGAACTGACAAAGTAAGCGAGGACCTGTGGATTCCCTTCTGTGGTTAGTTTCACACTATCCCTATGGCGTAACAAACTCCGACTTGGAGAATATCCTTGCGTGTCTGGCTGTTTTGCTTGTCAGAACAACCGTAATGGCAATGATTACTTTGGCATGACAGAAAAGTTTGCAGTTTGGATAACGAAGCGTCTTTTAACCAGTAGTGTCAGCCCTTGGCTGCTTTAGCTCATGGTGTGACTGGATTTCCTGCAGAATTCGCTCACAATTGAGCCAGATACGATGCCGATTTTTCAGAGCCAAATAGTCCTTACAGTCTGCGTCGTATCCTTCGACTGCAGAGGCTTCTTTTAGCAGATTAAGGAGCTGGTCGAAATGAACTTCGGTCCTCTGTGGTTGAGGCATTTGCGATAGGAACCATGTCGGCACACCAGGGCACATATAAGTAGAGACCGGATTTCCAGAAACTGCGTGGCAGGTCTTCCGCACATGTTCTGAAATGAGGATTTGCTAGGAATAAGTTGAGCACGGACTGCGTCAGGAGCATCTCCAGTATACGTAACCGGAGTTCGCGGGGAATCAACGAGAGAGGATCCGTCTGTACGGACGTCGTCGAGATCAACTCTTCATGTGTCTTGTCCAGGTGAAAGGCAAATGACAAATCGGAGCTGGACTCGGATGACGCCTCGGTGATCAAAGGCCTGAAATCGAACGGTCCGTTGGAATCCATGATAGTCCACTGTTATCCAGTTAGCTTCTTTCTGCTCCTATTGATTTGGGATAGAAAAACCTCGGTCGAAATCGAACCGATCCTCATCGCCGAATGTATCGACGTACCCCCAGTCGAAAGAGGGATTCTTACGAGCCGACGGGCCCAATTCCATCATTGAGAGGAAGCCGTGCAAATCCAACGGGCGTGTAGCCGAGACAGTATCTCCATGGACGAGCTTCAACATTTCCCAGCTGGCGTCATGAACCAGGACCCCATCCGTGTTGCATTCCAGAAAGTTAACCCCTGGATCTCTGGGGTTCTGCAGGCGCGGGTAAAAGAAGCAACCGGCCAGAGGATCAACATGTTCTGCCTAGATCATAGATGAGAAAGCCCGGTTCTGCGTATAGCGTCCGTGCAAAGTGTGAGTTTGAAGACATACGAGAGGAGACACCATAGGCAAGTCTACCGAGTTTTTCTCAGTGAAGAGATGGGCATCTGGGAGTTGGTGCGTCACCAGGCGAATGTCACACAGCCACTGACTCCAGCATGTCAGTAACGGCTTCTAAGAACGGGTGGCAGTCAGCACCTTGATGCCCTTCAAACGGATATCCCGTGCATCGTATCCCAAGAACACCTTGCAGAACCTCGATTTCGTGTTAAGCTTTTTGATTTAGAATTTATGTTGTTTTTACTTCTGTGCCGGCGTACTTGCTTACGGCCCCCTCCGCAACTACAGTAATCGTCGTTTGTCTCATGCTCAACAAGTTGGTCTTCTTCATCGAGAAACGGTAGAAGGACCGTTTGATGAGTCTCTTGTATGTCGGAGGACTGCCGCAAATATTGCAAAAGATATGGACTGCTTCTTCCTCCATTACTATTCACTTCCATTTTCGAGTTTGAGTTTGTCAATCAAGCTAAATGACTGGAAGTGAAAAACGACTGAAATCTGAAGCGCTGGGACAAGCCTCTCAAGAATCATCCATGCTCATTCTACTGATATTTCAGTATGAGTCATACTTTCATTTAAGCCTCCTGGCAAACTGCAGCAGTTTAGCTCGTGCCATTCGGGATAGCCTCATGTCTTCCCAAAGAGGCAACATAAGCTCCAGCGATCTTAACCACGTAGGGTGTAGCCAGGACTTATGTATCCTGCCCTGTCTAGGTCCGCAAAGGAATGTCGAGACTAGCCATATATGAACTTCGATCAATCAATCGCACTACGGTTACAAAGTATCTATTACGGAGTAGTGTAACTAAGTGGAGGGAAGGTATGGACGATGTCATATCAATAGTAATAAGGTAGATTTAATATCATTCCTCTGAGCCGCGCATAAGCACAGCAGGCAGGGACTATGATTTCAGAAGAATCCAATATAAAGAATGACTGCGACTGGTCTAGGATGTAGTCAGTGGCTGTTGGTTATATTACCTGTGTTTGCCAAGATAGAGACAGGTAGTCGATGTGCGTCATCTGTCCCATAGGGTCAAGATATGGAGAAGAATGAAGGGGCGTAGAGGGAAAGGAACGCTTTAGAGTTTCAAGTGGACGAGAAGTCTCACTGTCTCAGTCTGAAGAAAATGGATGCGTCGAGACCCTCTTGGGTTCTCTGATGCGGTCATCATCGTTCTCGACTCTTAGCGCTGGGAATGAATCCCGAATCCGTAATGGACAGGTTGGTGAAACAGGACTGTTTCGACTTTTGAAAGTTATCGCATGGCGGTTACAAGGCACAACACGCTAGGAGGCTCCTGTTTGACTTTCTGGGATGGGACCACGGATCCTCGAGAAAGGGTAGCCAATTTAATGCCAGTGTTCGGTCTCAAAGTTGAGAGTGCGAATCAGCTCGGAAAGACCCGCTGATCAACCACAGGACGTTAAGGAGTTCGTGTTGATGTGGAGTTGTATGGAGTGGGACACAGAACACGGACATCTTTCTGCTTCGAACAAAGGTAGTCTAGTGTCTGAGGAATGTCTGATTGATAATCACCAAACCCTTTCGAAACAGACGAACCATCGGGCTGCTTCATCCTCCACCTCTCATACAATCATCAATCCTTATTTGCTCGTGCGCAGCCACATCAGCAGCGTACGCCATTTTCGTCCCCAAGCGCCCACTTGGGGTTCTGCTGCGGTCAGCCACAATGTAAAATAGCTGGGCGATCGTTGCCAGTACGAGACACAGACCCCCACCTGTGCATGGTAGGGGATCATCATACGCCGTGCTAGTGATGCCGCTGAGCAATAGTATCCCGGCGCCAGGGATCTGTGTGTCGCGTTAAGGTCATTCGCACCAGAAGGAAAAATTCTAAACCCCGCAAATTTGGGATTATCAGCTGCATGTCCATCCTCTTCAGTCACGGGGGCCGGTGGCTGTCGATGTTTAAAAATGTTTATTCCTCACGCGGGTGTTTATAATCCTGGAATACCCTCGGATCCCTTTTGATCTTTCGTTGCTTCTGTGGAAATAGTATCCCACAGCCATTGTCTATCATCGTCGCTTATTCTCAGTGAACAAATGTCTTTACCTCGCCTGGCAGCATCTCTCAGCATACTTCCATCACTGTCAGTCCGCTTCTGTTGACTCACCACTGCACTGGGGCACCACACAAGCAAAGTCCATTACAAACATCTACAGCAAACACTCGAAAATGCGAGACATGCCATCCAAGTTCATCGAGATCCTCGATCCCTCAGATAACCTGCGCATCTCTGACTCGGACGTCCGCCTCGAAGATGTCCTAGCCGATCACGAGGCCATCATCACTCGTCCTCGCTCCGCCACCAAGGCCAGTGACCGATCAGACCGGGATAACTCCTCCTCGCCGGCGCAGCGTTTGAAAAGACTAAGCACTATCCTAATCACGCCGCGACGACCTTCCCCATCGTGATCGCTATACTACGGTCCCAGGACCAAGTTCAGGTATACTTCAGTTCGGGATAGTTGACTGGCTCAACACATTGACTCTTGTTGGCTGGAACTTGGTTGGAAATCTTATGTTACGATAATGACGTTACGAAAATGAGCCCTCCTATACCCTGTGCATTCTGCTATACACTTTTCCTTCTCCTTGTTGTTCAATAACAGTCGACCGGTCTAAGACACGCAATCATCCTCCATCATGTACTACTACATCATGTCTTCTTGGATCATACTGCGCCACTGCACCCAACCGAATTCGGACGGATATCCGAAATCGCCACTGCTGGCGTGGCCTGTATAGCGTGACCTGCAAATCATCCCAAGTGCGTTGACATACCTTACTCATGAATAGATATATTGACGGATATAATGGGATAATGGGACACATTGCGTACTCGGTGGAGTCCGAAGGTGTATATGTCGATCCTGATCATCTGTTGTCGATCAGATATGCCGTTGATCCGGACATACACATACAGCCGAACCAAGCGAACTATTTTTAGGTTGATTACAAAATAGATAATATTCTGCTTGAATGACAGGAATAAAGTAGCCTAACTAGTCTACCTCTTCTCGTACAAAGGTAAATATTATCTTGATTTGCACTCCAGCGCCTGTGACGTCATGGGCGTAGACTCAGCCCCGGCGTGCCTTGGCGCCTAAACATGTACCCTTTTGTCATCTATGATTGCGACGATAACTTATCAGTAAGCAGTAAGAAAGTATGCTTTGTACGATGGGGACGATATGGGCAGGCTAAGGATCCCTGTAAAATTCCTAGCTCAAGCAATGCCTCAATCCATAAATTGCCACACCCAGCGCACGCAGCACCGAAGCTGTTCCTCCGCCAGGATGATATCAGTCTCCCTACCCCGCCGGGGTCGTTCGAGTAACTCTTCAAAAGGAAGGACGAGAGGAGCGCCAGAAACAGACTCGGAACTGATTTCAAGAGTCTGCGCAGCGTGAGCTTGCATAGAAGCCTCAGGCTGATGAGATACCTGATGTTGATGTATTGGCGTGCGCTCTTGCTGTTCCCATTTCTCGATAATCAACGTTCGTCTCTGGCGATTTATGCCAAGAACTAGGACCATCCGGACCTCGCCTTGGGAGTTGCGCAGCCACCATCTTGCCTCTTCGCGGAGCCGGGGAAGTGACGCGGTGATGCCTGCTTCGATAACCAGGGTGGGCCAGGCCTCGCGGTCTCTCTGGATCCGGGCCTTGGGAAAGAGACATCCATCCGGTTGTTTGCCCTTGGTCCTTGCGCAGAGAAGCCTGGTGGTGGTTCCGCCCCATGAGAATTCCGCGGTAGGGTCCATTCCCATGCGGTTGCAGAAAAGATCGATCTGGCGGGTGATGTTGATCGTCATAACATCGTGCCCGTAAGTGAGGATTTTGATGACGCCGGCGGTGTTGTCGAACATGAATCGGTATGGGATGCCGCTCAGGGCACGTTCTTCGCTGTCAAGCTCGATGCAGGCTTTGGTGGTCAGTCCGAGAACGAGGATGAATTGGTTTCCGTCTCCTGTCTCGTTTAGGGAGTCGTGGACTCGCTCCGCTGTTTGCTGAAGGTTTTCTAAGGTAGTGAATTGGACGAGGATATGATCTTCTGGCAGATTTGCCGTCAGTTCTTGACTGGCCATCTTCTAAAGCTGTTAGTGTAAGGTGCATTCGCATCCTGATGCGTCTTGCCCTTTATGGCTGTGGTTCTCAATCGAGGAGATACCTCAACACTGGAGGAGCATGCAGGAAGGGTAGGAGCTTCTCAAATGGAACAGATGAGCTTAGTGAGGGAAAAAATCTTGTGCACAGTGAAAGTACGGCTTCCGATTTGCTTGCCCTGGTTCCTTCAAGATATACATTTTGACGTGCTCATTATTCGCATATCTGCTCCCTGTACCTATTAATGGCCAAAGCCTCAGGCAACCAACACAGATATGGCGGCCACCAAGTGAGGGTATTTCGACGGTGGATCTGGATCAGCCCATATCTGGCCGTTACATTCACAGCCTATCCGGATATTGCTCCCATAATGTAGCATCAAAAGAGAAATCAACTATCAATCTGCACCTTTTAAACAGCTGTAGTGTTTGTTGATGGTCATCTAGATGATGCGTTATCAGTGACGTCACGCTATCGTGCGACATATCAACCATCAGTCCATCACCTACCCGAGTACACTTAGTACACTTAGTACACTTTCATTCTGTTTATACAAAACTATCAATCGCAAGAATGCCTACAAAACGCGCGAAAAAAGCCACCTCGGCAGCAAAAAACCCTCCATCTCCCCCACTGTCCGAGAAGAATGCCACGACAACAAACCAACCCGAACCCGAGCCCAAGCCCAAGCCCGAGCCTGACGAGCCCACTGACCATGCCAGCCCACCCAGCTCCCTGCAAAGCGAGATCACAGACACCGTCCCCTTCGACTCAGACGAAGAAATGCCCGAGGAGACCGAACACACCGTCATCGAAGAAGCAGACAAACAGAAAAGAGCCGGCTACGCAGGCGGATACAACGCCCTCAAGTCATTCAAGGGCCAAGTATACTCCGGGATGGCAGTAGGCGGCTCCCACACCTGGACCTACGACTCGGGGACCTGGAAAGAAACGAAGGAAGAGCCGGATCTCTGGCGGGTCGACTACCGGACCAACAAGCGGCGAGCGCGCAAGGCGCCGGAGGGGAGCGGCGCGCCTGTCGGAACGGAGTACCACTGGCTGATAGTGGCGCATCAGCATGTGAAGAAGGTTGATGCAAACACGTATGAGACGCATTTGACGGGCTCAAAGTACAAGTTGGCGTACAAGTCTGCGTCGTCGAACTCGTGGTCGATTCCTACGGTGAAGAAGCAGCGCGAGAGGGAGGTGGAGCTGCTTGAGGATGCGAAGCAAAGGGTTCAAGGGCTGCCGCCGGTGTTGGCGACGGAGAAGATTAGAGTGGAGAAGCATGAGAAGGGGCAGCAGAGGTTGGATAGCATGTTTACCAAAGCTGGAAGTGCGGATTCGGGGTCGAAGAAGAGGAAGATTGATACGACCTAGTCGGGTTCACTAGTATTCTAATGTAGCTGTTAGTGAGTGAATATACCAAGATTTTGTCTGTTGCACTGGCACCTACACTATTAATGTTCGTATACTAGATATCCATTATCTGGGTGATACTCGTCATGGTTGAATTAAATGACCTCAAAATGCGGCGTACGGGAAACGGTCGTCGTATTGCAGCCGACAGATGATTTACTGTCCTGAAGAGTCGACCTTGATGTACTCGATTCATCACAACACTCCAGACAGGAAAGCCTCAGGTATGAAAGAACTCAGAAATCATGAATGAAATTGTCCTCAAGGACAATTTCCAGCCAAGGACGGCTAAATTGACGGTTCAATTGTACCCCCGCAAATCTCGGGGTAGCAACAACCGATGCCGTCTTGGCTACAGGAAATCTGGGGTATAAAGCTCCTGAATGATGAATCCGGAGTCGGTAGAAGTTCAAACTGTCAATTGCTCTCAATATGCGGGGAATTTCGTCGTTCTGTGTTGTGTTCCTTGCCGCTGTGGCACAGGCTAGATATATTGTCCCCGGAGGCCGATGGCGAGATACCAACGGGGACCTGGTCAACGCTCATGCTGGCGGCCTTCTCTACGATGACAAGTCGGGCAAGTTCTGGTGGTTTGGCGAGTACAAGATTGAAGGCCAGACGGAGGGTGGCGGTGTCTCCGTGTATAGTTCGGAGGATTTGGCGACGTGGGAGCCTCACGGGTTGGCTTTGAGTATGACGGTCGGTCTCTTGAAAGCTGTCTGGCTGATATTCTACAGAACCGGTTGAGGGACATCCGTACATTTCCCCCAAGCACATCATCTAGCGTCCCAAGGTGGTCTACAGTGAGGAGTCGAATCAGTACCATGTATGATCTCCTCTCTAGCTATACTTCTTTCTAACAAACATAGATGTGGTGGCATGCGGATAATTCCACTTATGGATGGCTCCTGCAAGGATTCGCTACTTCCGACAACATCACCGGCCCCTATACCTTTGTCGACGCAGCGGCACCACTGGGCAACTGGTCGCAAGACTTTGGGTCCTTCACCGACTACAAGGACGGCCGCTCGTATGCGCTCTACTCGAACGGCGACAGCAAGTATGGACGCGATGTCTACCTTACCGTGTACAACAAGAACGTCACCGCACTGGAGGAAGTCGTCTACCGCTTCCCAAAGTTCGATCTGGAGGCGCCGACCATCATCCAAACGGAGAAGAGCTATTGGGCGTTGATGAGCCACAAGACTGGTTACCGGCCGAACAGTAAGTGAGCGGTAGCCTTGACGGTAATTGCAATGACTGACCGAGAAGACGTCGTTGCGTTCCGCGCCGACTCGCTCAGCGGTCCCTGGTCCCAGCCATTTATGGTTGCTCCTCTGAACACACGCACGTTTAACTCGCAGTCTGGTTTCTCCCTTCGGATTAAGGGGACGAAGAAGACCACCTATTTGTACATTGGTGATCAGGTAAGTTTATCCTTGGCAGGATGAATGGGAGGTAATGAGTACAGTGGGATTCCAACTCCCTCTGGGAAAGCCGGTACATCTGGCTTCCGATGGATATCGACGAGACGAAGAAAACACTCGACCTGGTCTGGAACGACGTCTATGACCTCAACGTGTATGTCGTCAGCCAATTGAATGAGGAAGTACTGACGGATCTAGCAAAACCGGGGAATGGAAAGCCATTAGCGGCAAGACATACACTGCCAGGAAGGCCAAAACAAACGGCAATGCGTATAAACAGGAAGCTGTATGTCCTCTGTTCGGTCCAGCTCAGTCGCAATGCTAATTGAGTAGAACTTTGCAACCGACGGTGTCATCCTGACGGGGATCTATGGCAATGACAGCACAGTGACATTCGAGGGCATTGAAGGAACTGGCAAGCCACAATGGGTGTCTTTCTACTACCAGAGTACGTCCTCTTCGCCTTATCAATTTCCATGCTAATGTTATAGATATCGATGACATGGGCTTCGGCGATCAACGTAAGTATATTTCCATCAGGCAGAACCAGCAGCGGAGCTAACAGTACCAGCGGGAGGCACCCCTGATCGCGTCGGTGGCTCATGGCAGCTCCGTCGCATCAGCAGCGTCGTGGTCAACGGGAATACCCCAAACGTGGAGACGCTTTATCAGAGGGATACGCACAAGAGCATCATTCTTTCGGCGCCGCTGCTGCTGACGCTGGAGAAAGGCTCGCATAATACCATTACTGTCGGAGGATTGTACAACGGATTTGATTATAAGGGTGCAGATCTGGATAAGATTGTGGTGTATCCCCCTGAGCCTTGATACTGGTGAGTATGCAGAGAATGAGGCCGTTAGATTATGTCCCCAGGACAGTTATGTGGCTCTTTAGAAGTACCGTGAGCATAGTATGACCATATTGATCATCAAGAATTGTGTGCACTATCTTAATTCATGTTAGTGAACATATCGCCGGCAAGGGTGAAAAGGGAATATAGAGTTACACAGACAAAAGCCATAGACAATTCCGTCACAATGTGGAGGAATAATGATGCTAGCTGTATACCATTACATCTAGATCGATTATTTCACTCAAATTCTTCAAATTCCCCATCAATCCTTATATTATAACCGACTGTTAAGGCTCGAAACAATGTTCTTGTCGAGTTATGGTTGATCCAATGAATAGGCGTAGCTGAATATAAATTTTAACTTGGGTGGCAATTACAACAAAAGGACTGGTACCTCAGTGGTAGAGGGTGAGATTGCAATAACATCGCAAGATGTGTACTGTAATATCTTGAGGTCCCGTGTTCGATCCACGGTCAGTCCTATTTTTTTGTTCTTTTTTCCGTCCCATCTTCCCATCTACGCCAAGACAACAACTCCACCAAAGCATGCATGCAATTACAAGTTTAGTCGCTGATATTGTTGTTCACTATTGAATTTACCCTACCACCACGACTCGAAAGGCGCCATTTCATGCATGAGTCTCTATTCAGCAACATGGTAACCTGAATAATTTAGTGCTCGTAATACACAGTTGGAACGAAATTGACTAGAACCGTATTGTCATAGAGAGATCCTCCTATCTCCAGCGCCCCGTCCCTCGTCTCTCCAACGAGCAGCATCCACGGGACGCCACCTTATAAGCATACTCGCGATGCTATGAATACCTTGATCCATAGTCTGCCGTAGAGCCACCGCCAACTGTGTTTCTTGTGCCTGACGGCGCTGCTATCTGGAATTTACAACAAAAGGCCTGTAGGCTCCATCCACACCTCGATCCCTTTTTTCAAGATTATGTCCAATCATTTCGACACTCCTGACGGGAATAACGGATCCCAACCGGTGTGTTCACACTTTTTGTGGCCTAGCAGTCATTTTGGCTGACAGCAGATAAATTAAGCATTGCAGTTTATTGCTGCAGAACGGTAGTAGACTCCTGGGGTTATCACTGGCTAAGGCTTGATAGGCAAAACTATTGTTATTGTACTAGTGCTCACTGCGCAACCCCTGCTCTTACTATCATGCACAGAATCTGCATAATTTCAGTCACGGTCTATAGCTGAGTTCTGAACACCTCAGAGGGTCATAGATGACCGGCGACGGACGGCACTGCCGTCGGGGCCTGAGACAATCCAGGTGCCGTCCCCTAGGGGTTCAAAGTCGTAATTATCACGCGAGTGGGCCTCGAAGCGACCGAGCGGTATACCTGAACACAGGTCGATGCTATAGTGGCAGTGCCACTCCTTATCATCCTTCTCGCCCGCGATCGTGATGACCGCGATGTCCGCATTGAGGAAGCCGCCGTTCCAGTGCGTACATGCTCCATCATCCCCATACTCGTAGCCAAAAGCCTCGACAGGTAGCCGCAGTACCACCTCGCCACGGGGAAAGACATGAAAGGCGATGTCGTACCGGCTGTGGTGGACAGTCATGAACCGCCGCCCGTCGGGCGACAGGTCGACCAAGCATCGATCGTCCCACCCGTAAGAGTGTAAGTCGATATCACCGCCAGTGAGCGCCGCTCGGTACAATTTCACACCGTCCTGGCCCTCGCCCACATCTAGCAGGATATGCCGCCCGTCGGGATGCAGAGCAAGCCGGGCTCCCTGCCCGACGCTATCCAGCTCCGTCCTGGCAACTTCCTCGCCTGTCTCGGCCCGCAGCACGACCAGTATATCGGGCCCGCGATCGGCCATGGCGTCGGGGCGATACACCCACACCCAGGCCCCGTCCAGGGAGAACACGCAATTGGAATGGGGCACGTAGCGCTGGGTGGAGCGAGGTTCTAGGTCGTAGCGCCATAGCAGGTCACTGTTCTGGCTGATGCACACCACGCTGTGGGAGGTAATGTAGACCGCCCGATCCAGGTTCGGGGCCACCGCATGGATCAATTCCTTGCCAGAGGACTCGACCCTGTAGGTCGCTGCCGGCTCCAGAGGCCCGTGTATGCTGCCTGAAACCCGGTAAGCACGTATCTCCCCATCCAGATAGCGTGTGGTTGTCAACTTCATGTCGGCTGGTTATTCCCGACGTGGATTAATTCGACTTTAGATGGTCTGTCGGGTAACGAAAGTCGAGTGGAATCTGTTGCCTGTAGCACGGTGTGCATAAGATCTTGAATGGTCAAAATGTTATCTGACTGATGTGTCTGTTCATCCCATTTCGAGTTCTAAAAATATCTAGGTTATATACTAGCGTAATAGCGCCTTGGCATTAGGGTTTGGGAATTAAGCTCGTCTCTGGACTCGTGGTGCCACCGGATGGTGCATGGACACGTCTGCATGCTTGTTTAATATGCATCAATATGGCTGCCTGATTACTTGTCTGTATCTACCATGGAGATACATGGATGGAGAGACATTGATTCGGGTTGCCGACTACTTGCCGACAGTCAGACCAGCGCAATCATGCACGATGAAGTAAAGGATATATACATGTGATATCATATAGATGCATTAATATAAGGCCCCTCTCCCTCCCATCATCTTCATCAGTTGCCAGCCACTGAAAATGAACGAGAGGATATACGAATTAGACAGGCAAGGCGATATCACCTTCCTCATCTACGATGTCCCCGAGTCCCTCCCACAAACCCTAGACCAACTTCACCCCCTCTTCCTGGATGGTTCAATACCAAAAAGCACCTCACCTGCAGCGGAGGGAGACGAAACCAACCAAACCCCCCAAGCAGTACTCAAGATCCGCGCCTCCTCAAAACACCTTACCCTCGCCTGCCCCCAGTTCGCCCGCACCCTGCACAGCGACTTCCAGGAATCCCAAGACCTCCATCAAAAAGGCCACCTGGACCTCGAAATCGACAACTGGGATCCCGCCGCCTTCCCAATCCTCATGCTCATCCTGCACGGGCGCACGCGTCCCGTCCCGAGGAAACTGACGCTCAGCAAATTCGTCGACTTCGCCGTGTTGGTCGATTACTACGAGTGCTACGAGGCGGTCGAGGTCTTCACCGATATGTGGATCAGGTCGCTGAAGAAGACGGCTACGGCTTCGATGTCGTTGGCCCAGGTGGAGGAGTGGCTGTTTGTCTCCTGGGTGTTCCAGCATCGGCAGAGTTTTGCGCTGGCGTGCGGGTATCTTCGGGGGAATTTGACCAGCAGATTCTGTCCTGAGTTGCCGGTTCCACAGCGAGTATGCGGTATGTTTTATGGATTTTTGGTCGGGCCCGGGACTGATGCAGGTAGATGCGATTGATCGTGCACGGGAGGATGCTATAAGCAGGATTCTCGACCGGTTGCATGGCCGGGTGGCGGTGCTGCGCTCGGACAAGGTGCAGTGCTCGTATGAGTGTGACTGCGTGCTTCTTGGGGCGCTCACGAGGCACATGCATCGGCTGGGGATTCTGGAGAGACCGGCGCCGCCTTTTGAGGGGATCGCGGTCGAGCAGCTGGCGGGGGTGGTGGTGCCGAGGTGGTACGAGCGCGGCGGCGAGATCCAGCATTCGTGTTTGGCGACGCTGGATTTCAATTCCTCGCTGAGGGGTTCTGGGGATGCGCTGAAGGTTGTGGATTTGGACCAGTTGACCGAGTTAAGGAGGAAGTGACTGTTACCGTGACTGTGTAGTCATCCAGACGTCTATGTCTATATGCAAATTACAATGTAATTTGGAACCGCGGATGCGTGCGTATCCTCGCCCCAAATATGCTCACCCCAAACTTCCAAAACAGCATCGGACACAAGCACATCGCCAGCGCAATAAACGCCAGCACCGAATTCCCCCACCCCAGCCCCAGCGACTCATACATCGACGGCCCCGCCAGCGGGAGCACCGCACCGATCAACGACCGCAGAACTGTGCTCGCGGCCGTCACTGAAGCACATGTGTGAAATAAGAATCGACCAGGTACCTATTCGCCGGCATGAAGACGGTCATGAGCCCAATGGCAAAGACGTCTGTCCCGAGGATCGGCACGATCCAGTGCACCCCTGCCTCGGCGGACCAGCCGTACCAGAATAGCCCCGCGGGGACGAACTAGCATCTGAACAGCATGGGCGGGAGCCGGGACTCCGAGGTGAAGCAGCCGCGAGCGGAGTGGGCGGCGGCGATGCGGTTGGCCATAACGCCGTAGACGACAAGGCCGATGACGCAGCCGATGCCGAAGCACAGGTAGGCGAGGCCGGCCGGGCCGGGGGAGAAGCCGTACTTAGTTTCGAAGATGGAGATGGTGGTGAATATGAGGTAGCGGTAGCCGTAGCGCGCTTTCTTCTTGACCGGCCAGTTGAAGGGATTGGTGATACCATCGGGGCCATCCCAACTGACCAGATTCGGGTCTTCTCTGGGAAGATCATGTTGATCTTGTGAAGGAGAGACCAGTGCCTGGTCTGGAGATACTGAGGTGTCTCTATCCCGGCCCTGCTCCAGGTCAGTGGATTTGCTGGGAGTGGAATCCTGCGTGGTGATGTTTGGATATTACTCTTTTCATTCTCCAGCTGGAAGACATGGGCCCAGTAACATTGCAACAAAGGCAAGCTCTCGATAAATACTACAAGACTAAACCGTGAAGGGCAATGAATAACGCTCGTCTCCATGTCACATTCCTCCATTCGGGCTAGCGTGATAGTTGTTTCCCTCCTTACATAGTACAATCATCGAATATCCTGATTCATCATTCTAGTTTTGAAGGATATTCATAGCCGGGATAGTTTTCCGGCCAAAAAGACCAATCATCTGTCGCGTTATGACTGCTTCGTGGGGTTCGGCTACTACGAACCCTGTGAAGCTTTTGGCCGGCGGGAATAGCTGTTTATCTGCCCTTTATGCCTTGACTTCATATCTGGCCTGATGCTGAGAGTCTGGACAAGTGCTAGGTTACTCTTGATTTCGTTTATACTGAGATTGTGTCTTTCCGGCTCTTTCAGCTCGATGATCAATCCAGAAATGCGTACTATTCAGGCTATTCTGGGCGTGTGATCTAATCCCTGATACCCCCTTACTTCTTATTTTGATCAGCTCAGCAGAATAATAACCAAAATACGGTCAGAAAGTATGAAAAGTCCTATCACCTACCCCATCTGCCAAGCCAAATATCGATCATGACGGGGCGTGACTTGGGGAGACTTCAGCTTCACTGTCCGAGCCTCTATTACTTCATAACTATACCGGGGCTGCGTCAACCTCATCTCGGTGGCTTGCGCGCAGTCAAAAAGTTACGCTAAGGATTTATAACTGAGAGTCCTCCAATATTATAAAATATTGGTAATATATTAGGTAAATTTCAAGCTATAAACTTCAGGATGCCCGAAAATCAGACCACTTTTGGCTTCCGTAAACTCACAAACCTCCACCTCCCAGAGGGCCACCCCTGGTTGATTTCTAATCTAATGAGTCCCTAATCATCTTTTCATCCATACTGTTATGGTTGTGGCGACTTTCCTCGATGACCTGGATAGCCAGTGCTGTAGTGAAACCACGATCGAAGATCTTCTTTCCCACAATGGGGACGGAGTAAAGGTAACCTGGCTCCCATCCACCATCTTCGCACTGCATTCCAGTCAGTCTCTCCATATCTTGGTAGTTGTCAACTCCCATTGCATAGCAGACACTCAGTCGCATCCCTAGAACCAGGCTGTCGCCAGGGAGCCCAATACGCTCCTGAATGCGCTCCTTCAGAAGAGAGCTAAATCTTTCCTCTAGGTCCGGGTCACAGGTCCGCTTCAGGAGACGACAGACGTAGAACAGGAACCATTCCGCAGTCTGATAGTAATACGTCCCGTCGACGTATGCTCTGTGTAAAAGGACCTGGTAAATCCAGTTGATAGTCTTTCGAAGCTGCTGCCCCCGCCGATGAATATGAAATGCGAGGAAAATGTTTACGCAAGCGACTGGGTCTATGCGCGGTCTCGTTTTATCGAAATATACCTTACCGCCGAGTATTGTCAGTCTTGGCTTTGCTCCTTTATATCAGGGGCTGTACCTGGATGAGGCCATCAGGACTGAGGTATTCAAGCATTTCATCGAGCATTGAATGCACCATTGCATCCTCATGCGGTAGCAATTGTATGGCAAGGGACGTTGTATCCAAGTCATTCGGAGGGTTCATCTTGGTGAAGGTTGGCTGCTCTAAACATTTTCATCGTGTTAAAAGCCACCAGTTTCTGTATTGATGAGACAAGGAAGATCGAGATTTCATACCTATGTAATAGTTCCATGTCCGTTCTTTTGCGTAGTCCGGCTGCTTGTATGTGACCAACTCTCTTTAAAACAATTAGAATGAGCATTTTCGAAGACGGGAAGAAAAAAATAATACTCCTCTCCTGTGGTCTCCAAAATTAGGAGCTGCACGTAGTTCTCCCTAAGAGAAGTACCGCAGTCCGTGAAGGGATGCAATTTCTTAGCGTTGCGTTGGAGGAATTCATTCCCTCGAATAACTGGATCACTGAGGGCGTTCAGCATGTTCCGGGGTAGCGCTTGAGAACTCCCAAACAAAATTCCATGCATTCCCAGCGAACGCGCCATGACGACATTTTGCATATCACGACCTACGAATATTGCCTTTGCGGGGTCGGTCTTGGTGGAATCAAGGGCATGCTGGTAAAAGCTAAGACGAGGCATTCGTGTACCAAGTGCGAACGATGTGAAAATATCGTCAAAGTTGGCCAGAAACTCGTTCCCCCATCGCTGGCGAAGTGCATCATAATCCGTCCTTGCGATGTTCCAGACAGCAACTATTCTCAGGGAGCCTCTAGTTTTATATTTCATCTGGAAGATTGAGGAAGCTAGTTTCCTGTCATAGTCGATTATTTCCCTGCAGGTAGAGATAGCATCACTCAGAGCAAGGGCGTCAAGACCAAACTGTTTGCTGAGCAACTCGTAGCACTGCTGCTCGTCTATCTCACCGCACTCATAACGCATCCAAGTAGACGTTGACTGGAGACGTTTGAAAGAGGGAATCGGGACGGTAACTCTCTCGGGGAACATTTGAGGTATGTTTATCAGCACACCCCCAAGTTCGATGATCAGGGTTGTAAACTTCATGTTTGAACGAACGGCCATGGCTACAGACCAAGCGAGCGGGTTTTGGAATAGATCGTAAAATGTATTTCAAAATCGATTAGAATGGACTCAAAGATGAAACCTGTTGACTGAAGCCCCGTAGCAGGCAAGCGAAGCGCTCTTAAGTATCGGCTTTTCTCTTCGCTCGCAATATCGTCGAGGCAGTGGCAGATATCCGCGGTTACACGGATCCCCGAACAGTAAGAGATGAGAACAAGGAAATCAGCATCACCTGCAACCTGCAGGAAACTCATTTTCTGGAATGGACGAATGGAAAGTAGAGAAGTAGGAATGACGAAATCTTGCTATAAGTCTGACTTGCGGCTTCGCTTACATTATTGGGCATCAGCAGTGCTGTAATCCGGTTTTCACTCCTCATTCACCCTCCAAGAGACCCATTACTTCTTTTCCCACTCTGTTTGTTGTCTGCTGCAGCCTCGATCATGTCGTCAGTGATCTGCAGTTGACCTCATGATATCCTCGTCTATCTGGAAGAAGTGTGCTACAGAACCGGACAGAAACGCTTGTAAATCAAGGGTCCTATTCAATGCCAATCGGTGGGATGTCCTTGTTCTTCAGTACTCCTACAAATACTGTATTCAACTATCTGCAGAATGATAAAAAGACGCGTTGTCCATAATAAGAAGGGACTTTGGTTCTGATCATTTTCGACAATGTTTGGGGACCGTTCGATAAAATCTTCGAAACAGCAGCATCAGTTGAGCCCCCGGAAGGCACAAGAGGGGACAAATTGTGGTGAAATCTGGATACTTGGACAGAGCGCTGCAGGCCGTTTCTGACATGCAGGTATGACAATAAAGAAGACATGAGTGGCCGCAGTACCGTACTAAAAAGCTATGTATGGACAATATCATACTAGGATAAGGTTCGCCTAGATGTTCTCCACTTTCCCGATGGACCAATCATGGCAGCCATTTCAGGGTCAAATTCTGTTGTATGTTTTCGCTAAGTTTAGATAGGGTGTGACGATGCTCAGGTGTGGGACCTAGCGTGCAGGAATCGGAATCCTCCCAGACTATGTGCTACACTACGGCGAGGTTAGGCTCTCCGCACCTAGAGGACATTCGCAACGATAGCTATTCCTCTTAAGAGGTACTCCATTACATATAGAATGTGAGGACCTGTGAAATCGACACCGAAAATGACCACTACTGAGGCCATAAACACCCGCATTTCCAGCTATAACTCTCAGTGGTGAGCCACTGCCTTAACTATAGGACCGAAACCGCACCATTTCGAGGCCTACCGGTTGCCCTATGTATAAAACAATATAGACCCCACTAACAGGGATACCCAGAGAAATCCTTAAGATACGTAGCGTATCTTGGCAGGGTTCGAGAAACAATCGAAGAGTGTAACTGGTGACACCAGTTGTGGGACGTACTGTACAGCTGGCCAACAACCTTGAAAACTGTCAGAAATGCTACTGCTACTAGTAATATTACTCAATAGAATAGGCTGTCAATAGGCAACATTTTGATAAAAGTAGAGCTAGCTAGATACTGAACGAGTGTGGTGATAATGAGAACTGTAAATAAAGAGAGACACTGGGAATGTATGAATACATCACCCCAATACAGACAGAATCCACTGCTTGTTCCAAGCCCTCCTTGACGTAAGATCATTGGCATTGGGAGACACGAACCATCTCAGGCCTTTGATGAGCTAGAGAATAAACAAAACAGCTAAGGATTCTGTTTCTTGCGGAATTGTATAATTGGTTCAAACTGGGGTCTGGAAGTCAACCGTCTTGTGGTACTCATCGTATTCACAGTGGCGGCGATCAGTTTTGCACTGTAGATGAAGATTAGATGATAAGAACAGATGAAATGACCCGGAATCGAATCAGAATTTACCCTCTTGTTGGCAGCCGAACCGCAATTGACTACCTGGTTCTTTCCACCCTTTAGGTATGTGCACGTGTTATATTTCAAGCTGCATTCCTATAAAGTGGTCCAGAAAGGTATCTCTATGTAGACATCTCATAAGACGAACTTACTCCTCCAAATTTACTAAGCTGTACGTCTCGGGCATCAAGATCGTCCGACTCGGTCACGATGGGGTTGGCAATCGCGCCCATTGCGGCGATCAGGACAATGGCAATGCTGGTGTGCATGGTGGAAGATTGGTCTTGTAGAAGATTGCGGTATTGATGAGATTGATACTTTACAAATTAGAGCGCCGTGAAGGTGTCTTATATAGACAATGCCGGATACTTTCTGCGATATTTGACAAATACCATCCTCAAATTCGATGCAGGGCCGCGGTCGAAAGATCATCCAAGCTATCCAATAAAGATATGCCTCATATATCCAAAAAATCTCAACTTGTTAGGTGGTATGATCTCCAAATTCAGATATTGGGCTGTCAGCCTGTCAGAACCTACGTTGCTGCCTAGTACTAGTAGGGGTCCAGGGAGAGAAATCTCTCTGTCCCCTTGTTCAAGTTGACCCTTACAACGATTTAAGGTCCCGTCTGGTTCCACCATATCAACTCGTTCACTTCCCCACTGTCTTCTTTCTCTTACCTAGCATTGTCAGCTTTCCAAAATGGACCACCTCCGTGATTCTCTGCTGAGCTCTCTGCCTAGAGACACACCTTCTACCGCAACGATCGATCATGCTCGCAGAGATCAGGAAGGTACACGCCAGTCTGTCGTTCGGGGTGAATTTCAAAGAGGTCCGAGACATGGCCTTCAGTAACCGGACCTGGGTCGTTACCAGCCGATACTGCGATATTGGAGATGGTGTAGACTCCCTTGAAGGTCACATTCATTCCCTGTGGTATATGTACTACGAGCTTGGCCGAAATATCTCCTCCGAATCACCTGAACATGAGGGAATAGTCCTCGATATCCTCCGCATTCAGGGAATGGGGCCGTTGACTAGACCTGCACGCGGAGTCTATGGGATTGATATCGCAAGAACCGTCGACGGTACACTATGGCACGCTTCTTGGTTGGCGATATGACCAATTTCTGGGTCAATCACGGTGCTTCTATGTCGGGAACACACCGTCTCAACTTTGCAACATTCCTGGCTAAACTTGCATCCACTCGGGTCGCTAAGGATAGGCTGTGCCAAGTTGCTCTTCTGATCTTCCGTGCTCTCTTTGAAAGCCCTCAAGCACTTCGCACTGGGGAAGAGTCAGATGAGGAAGACCTCAACCGAGGTACCAAGCAGCTTGAGGTCTTTCATCTGTTACCAGCTGCTGTTGCTTGGCTGAAAATAGCAAGCCACAACCTCCTTTTGCTATCAGAAGTGTATTGGAACGACTGCCCTAGCCACATCAGCAGGGGTGGTGAGGAGTTCCTCGAATCAGAGCTCGGACAGCGATCACCTGCTGGATTCTCGCCATGGAGATACATGTTCTGGCTGAAGCGACTTCATGAGATTCAGGAAGAAGCTAAGGAGGCCAATGAGAAAGCCCTGGAGGAGCTTGCCACTGATGGCATCCAGTACATGATCAACACAATCAAGCAAAGGAATTCTGAGGTCCTCAGGGCTTACAAGAATGGTGGCGATGCCCTGCATCAGGATAAGCATCTTTCGCGCCTAAAGCCCCTTGCACGCGTTGAGGAGCCAGAGTCGTAAAGACTTGGATGGAGTTCCGAAGGAAAACTCGAAAATGCCATGTAGACATTCGCCTTCCTCTCTTTCTTTCTCGGCCTCTTGAGCCTTCAAGTTGAATGTCACTCTCTCTGCTCCTTACTGTCAATCTTCATCAAATCTACATCTGCTCTGTCTTTTAGAATGAAGCACTGGCGGTTTTGGATGGGGGCGATTCAGCGCTCGCTATCCAACACGGATGGAAAGCCAGCCGTTTCTACTCCATAGCGTCAAATTCTGTTCTTTTGTCAATCCAAAGGTCCTCATGTTTCATTTGCCGACTAATCAGATGATAATCAATCCACTCCAGCGAGGCTGAGACATAGAAGAGATACAAGGCCATTGGCCGACTTTTCTTTTACCCCCTTAGGCAATTATTACGTAGGCCCTAAGTACCAAAAATAATACTGGAGCGTTGAGGTCTTGCTGTAGTTCCTCCGTACAGCAAAATAACACGTCCATCTCCACCTCAACGATTTCTGAGATTATATACTATACGAAGCTAAATCTAGTCTTCATAATGACAACTTTGTCAGTTTTGGCCTTTCTATTTCAAAGGACTTTTGATGACCATATCTACTATTTAGATTGCGACCCCGAAATTATTTCAGCCCCAGGCGGGAATCTAATCAGATCCGGGTCGGGCCGGACCATGGAACAGCGCATGAAAGGAATTGATCGCCGGATGAACCGCTGATCATTATTTGTTAATTCAAAAGGCTTAGTGCATAAATTTCACTGAATGCACTATTGTCACAGAGCAGACTGCTGCCATAAGACAAAGAAACAAGGTTTCCAATTTGTGATTTCTTTTTCTTACCCTTCAAACACTGTACATAAGTCCTAGAAGCTACATACAGAGTATTGCGGGCTGAAATAGATGCATCTACCCATGTGGCTCTCATTCCAAGGTTTTTACGAACCTCTGGCGAACCTGCGGCTAATTCACTCCACCTCCTTGTTTTGTATATGTATATCCAGATCTTACATACTTTCACATTGGATGTGCCTTGAAGCTTGCAGTGTTACATCACATAAACGCCCTAGTTCGTCCGACTTTCGCCCCAGCCTTGAAGCAGGCCACAGGGCTGTCACGCTGTGTATGCAGGGTTTGCGGCTCAAGACAGAAGTACATGTCAATCATGCAGCCATCCAGCAGGTACTACGTGACAGGTCACAACCTGCGTTGCTGCGAGTAAGACTGGAAACTCGCAAAGCTGAGCTGTACATGAAGAGAGTGTGAGATGGCCTACATACATTAGCATTATTTCAATGTTACATTCAATGCGACCAACTGTATGCTTGGCTTGAGAGCCGCTCTGAATCGTCATGGGGGCTAGCGAACACCTTTTAGCTGTCGGCGGGCCCGACGGCACTCGCGCATACATAGCAGCATATATACAGTGCTAGCTACATTGGGTAAATGAAGAGCATGTCTGGCTGATCGGAATGGATCCAATCTTGGAATCGAGGCATACGGAGAAGTTGTTGGGCGTGGGTTTGAGCAGCCATATCAATACGCTGTCCATCACGGCCGGTATCATCGAGGTCTTGAATAAGCTGCTTTCGCACATCTTGCTCATTTAACCTAAGCAAGAAGAATAGGTCGCTTCTGGGAGAGCCTTGGCGCATAATCTGCCACTGCCGACTTTCTCTTCTCATGTTATCCTGGTTATTTTGCCCTGCAGTGCAAGGTCAGATGTGTGGGTGGGAAATACGTGGCACTGATTGAACCTACACTGCGCTTTCTGTAACTTATTTGAGTGCTATGAGTCTTAATATCAAGGTTAATGGCCAGGTCTGCATGGTTGTTTCACCTTTTATAGTGAATTTAAAGCAGGTTCATACCACCTACACAGCCAATCTGAGGACTAGTAATAGCTTATCCTTATTAAACCTGCTAGTACTAATAGGAAAGTCTAACTAGGATATACTTACAGCAGGTTTCATAAGTAGATATTCTTAGCTACTTGCCTTTATCACCTACCTATTAAGCGGCCTATTATCTTAATTAAAGTGCTTTATGCTCTATAGTTAATAATAAATAATTTCTCTAGGAAATAGAGGCAACAGTGACATATTAATAGAATGCTCCATCCTATTAGGGATCTATATCTTTAGTAGCTTATTCACCACCTCTCTCGCTCTCCTTACGTCGGAGATCGTGTGTGCAAATAGTAAAGTATCGTGTACGGTTATCTGGCGCAGGAGGGCGCCCCAAGCAGTTGTCCATTAGGTATTTTGATATCCGGGGTGGAATAGCTGACTCCTTCGGGAGGAATACACGTCATTCCTGTGACCGATCTGCTCGTGGCGCAGGCGCTGCTGAGCGGATTGTGCCCGAGCAATGTTGCTTCGCTCAGCAGGAGGATGATATATCCATGGAATGGAGGCCCGGCTGGTCTTATGGATAGCAGGTCCTGCCCCATGCGGCCGTCCTGGATAGGATACTGATGGCTTATATCCTTGTCTAAGGTCTTCCCATCTTGGCCCAACTGTCTCATCGAAATAAGCCTTTTGGGCCCGCCGTGACTTGGCATCACAATTGCGGATCTTAGCTTTGACTCGAACCATAGTTTGTAGTTCCTCGCGCATGGTAGCAAGGGTTTGTATTATTAGTGATCAAGACTATCAAGAGACCTCTCTGGATAACGGTCTGTATTGAACTAACCCGGTCTCGATCCTCTCGCTTCATCCGTTCATCATCAAGGTGATCAGTCCTCAGAGTGTCTAAAGGACCACGATTACCATGTCATAGAGATTTGTTCAAAGTAAGCATGTTCACCGAAAAAGACCGAGCCTCGCGCTCGCTTTGGAGACCAGATGCACCTATAAATCCCTGCAGCCGCAGGGTGCTTTAGGCGGCCTCTGTATTATTGATATTGTATAGAATACCAGTATGAAAGATACAAGAGTCTAGAATCAGAAGCTCGGATGACTAGAAGTCTAAGGATCGCTGCAAACTGAGCAAACTAGGCGACTGTTGACAATCTGGCAACTTCTCCATCTGTTGCTTATTGCACTAGGAGCAAGGAGCAGTTTGTCAGCATTATAAGATGGCGTGATTGTGATTAAAGAATTTGTACCCTGTAATCAACTGCTCTGGTTCCTGCTCCTCATATATTCATAGTTTCACTACCAGAAACAAAATGGAACCTATTCTATCTGCACATGAAATCGGTGAAGGACTTCCTGTTTTGTTCATTCATGGATGGGAGATGGAGGGAAGAGTCGAGCAGCGGGACTTTGAGCCGATTTTCACCAAAACACCGGGATTTCGCCGGATTTACGTGGACCTTCCAGGCATGGGCACAACACCGGCGAACAATGTGAAGGATCTGGACGATATATACCTTCGCCTGGTGCAATTCATTGATTATCGACTTGGGAGGTCAAGATTCCTACTCGTCGGCTCATCATGTGGCGGCTACCTTGCACGAGCGATAGCTCAAAAATACATTGAGCAGGTCGATGGTTTGCTATTACGCGTACCGCTTATGGAGCCAAAGGACAGAATGCGCGATCTCGATGCTTTCAAACCTTTGGTTGCAAACGAGCAACTCATATCGACCATGTCAGCCGAAGACAGGACACTTGTTGGAAACGTTCTCGTTCAAACGCCAGCTTACGTCAAAGCTTTAAAGGCAAAATACAAGGAGGTTTTCCTTCCAGCGGTGAAAGCAGCAGACTATAAGGCGTTAGATCCGATCCGAGCAGATCCACAACGATATCAGCTCTCTTTTTCGTTGGACAATGAAGGTGCCAAGTTCTTTGCACCCACACTTATTGTATGTGGTCGGCAAGACGAGAGCGTGGGCTATCGAGACAGCCTTCGCTTGCTGGAGCTCTATCCACGATCAACCTATGTTGTTCTGGATCGTGGTAGGCATGGCCTTCCTGTCGATGAGAGTGAGACCAGTGTTTTTGAAGCTCTTGTTCGTGATTGGATAATCCGGGTCGATGAATGGCGAGTCGCATGGACAGATAAGAGCTATAACTCTAGTACCTAAAATGAAAGCGGGCGGTGGGAAGACTGGTACTTTATTACGTGTAATGGAGTACCTATCGTTGTGAATCTCCTCTAGGTCCCAAACCTGGGTATGAAAAATTGAAAATTCAGAGAACGTAAATCAGCTACGTTATTCAGTTTTCCCTTGAAGCAAGCGTGCGTTCCTCCTCATCTCAACATCACCCTGTGCTAGCCATCTACTCGCTTCTACTAGTTGTACGACATTCACATATTACTTGAAGAGCATGAATAATGATGAGATGGCAAGTAACAACCATGGCATGGAACTGCTGATTTTATTGGCACTAAACGAGATGTCAGCGCCAAATGTCCTAACGGAGTCAGAGATATCCTCACCGAGCCATTTCCATAGCCCCAGCACTCCAAGGCGATCCCCAGATCTGGGAGGCTGTTGCAAAGCTTGCTTTGCTGTTCTCCAGTGCAGGCACGAGTAATGGTGAAGAAAATGAAAGCAAATATAGCGCAATGAAAAATGCCTCATTCATCACGCATACAGTAAACAGAACTTTCTGTGGATATATCAGTTCATGATATTTGCATTCAAGAAGGGTGATGCACGAACATGATTAGAGTAATATGCTCTCATGACCCAGGGCCGACTCTCATCAATATCTTTATGACTCTGATGCTGTCCACCCATTGCCAGGGTGGCATACATATGGATGTAGTGGCTTGAATAGTTCAAGCTAATCAAGGCTTGAAAGACTATGCTCCATCTGGGAAACGCGGTTGCAGAAATACTAACAGACATGTTGTTGTGCATCGATCGGTGATCATGTCCAGGACAGCGCCAAACCGTGTTGACTGTCCGAGGCGTCGAGCAGCTGCACCATCCAAGGCATCTAGAAGACATGAAACGCTATATAAGAATGAACAGGTTCGTGGATGATAAGGCATATAATAAAGTGAAGCAATAGCGAAAACAACTCGCGCATAGCCTGGGAATGAGTAATCAGTATTCGATAACTCTTGAGTCTTTATAGCTCAAAAGGTTCTCATACCAATCAAGTTTGGAATAAAAAGGAAAATATTCTCTTCCCTTTCATTTACTGATTTTTGATTTTTGGAATGGGTGGGCATAGTTTAGGCGGTTGCGCTGATGATCACTAAAATAAAAGATTGTACTCTGTGCAGAGGTAATCATTTACCAATTTATAAGGATGACCTATATCTCAATCGGAAGGAGATTTCCGACAGAGACTAGGGTAGAGCAGGGATCAGGATTATCATTGATGAGTGAAGAAATTACAGGGAGAGCTACATGAGATGAGCTGGCGGGAGAACGTAGTCAAATTTGCTGCAACCATCAACATTCCATAAAAAATATCTTTCCATCAGATATCATCTTGGTCAGTAGCTGGCTGGTAGCTGCAGGTCATGTATTTCTTATTTCTGTTGCTATGATGTTACGATTGTCTACGGCATACTGTATGCTAATGATGTTGATGCTTGATATATCTACAGTATGATCACTGTCCCTGTGTGTGTTTTGATCAATATAATTCATTCTCATTGGTATCACGACCAGTGGCCATTACTTAGATACAACATCATATCAAATACATGAGTTCGTCATCAATAAATTGTCATTTGCAAGTCAACTAGATCCAGTCAGATCAATCAATCCCAAGAAATGCATACAGGAGTAACCCACGTTTACATCTGCTGCTTGTGAGCCTCGGCCTTGGCGTCGTGCTTGGACTCGTGGGCCTTATCGCCCAGGGCGTCCTTGGCGGCAGAGGCACTTGACATTATTAGAACGGCTGCAAGAACCTGCAGGAAAGAGAGCTTACCGAGTGCCAATGGGAGCATTGGAATCCTTGGCGACGTCCTTGTTGGCTTCCTTGGAGGTGCCGTGCAGGGCCTGCTGGACGCTCTCGCTGACGTAGTTGGCACCTTGCTTGATGGACTCCATTGTGATTGGGATTGTGTTGTAGATTGGATTGAATAGTATAGATTGGATTGGATGTTTCTGTGTTGATGAAGAGAGGACAGAACAGAGAAAGCGAGGTTTTTATATAGGTGGTACGGCATGATGATGTCATCTATACAGCAGGTGAGGGTGTGATGTCATTGATTCAAGCCAAGTCTGTAATGCGCAACATTCAGGAATTAACCTCGCAAAACAAGATTGGCTGCTGAACTTTATTGAGTCATGACTGCAATTAGTATAAGATTAAGTCAATACATTGCTATGCATAGTGCACTACAGAGCCAGGTCAAGTAAACCTCCCCCCGTAAACCACCACGCTCCACCCCCCAAAGCACAAACTTTGGCTCCAGTCCCTTGCCCGCCTTCTCGGCCTGCGCTAGGCCACCCGACCTCGGCAGAAGGATTACGTTCCCCGGGTAGATCTTCCCAAGTAGCGCCAGAGCAACCACCGGGTCGTGCACGGGAATCACGTGCAGCCCGCCATGAGCCGTAACGAGGCTGTCTACGTCTCCGGTCTCCAGGATGGATGCCGCGTCGTGAACTACGGTGGACGTAGCTGACGTTGCAGACTCGGAGTCAGCGTCGCTGGACGTGCATGCCTGATAGGCGTAGCGATGGCCGCGCGCGACCTGCCCCTGATCGACGGAGACGCATTTGCCGTTGTCAAGCTGGAGTTGCAATTCCAGCTGTCGAACCATATCGGACGATGAGGTGACTGCGATGCTGGTGCTTTGGACGCCGAGTGCGGGTGCCCCGCCGTTGGCCGCGGCGCACGCCGGGGTTTTCTCGGTGCCGGCGGGGATCTCCGCACGAGGCGCAAGATAGTAGTCCTGGATCCGGTAGTCGAAGATGACGTCGGTTGCGTCATGGACCAGCTTGGCGGGGATATACTGGAGAAGATGGAACGGAGTCGGTCCACCGGCCAGGAAAGCGGGCAGGACCAGACCGTGGGCATACTAGAAGCCGTAGCCAGGGCTGGCTTTGTTTCCAGCAGAACGAGAGAGAAGGCCAGGCGCGAGGAGAGTCTGAGCGTGTTTGACGATTGCCGATTGGGTGACCTGCTTGGTCAGAAGGTTGGTGAGGAACTCTGCCCGGGATGGCTCGAGGTGTCGGATGCCTCGAGCGGCGCGGCCGTCGACAGGGATGATCACGTCCTCGTAGTTCCTGAACGGCAGCAGGGCGTCCCGCAGAAGGACCATCTGATGCATGTACTCGTTGAACAGCTGCATCAGATGTGGCTGGCTGCGCTGGCCGAACATGAGATCGACGTTGGGCGGGATGAGGAGGTGGCCCTCACAGGGGCTGCGAAGGTAGAGGTCGGAATTGAACGGTCCGTCCGTGTGGTTGCGCGCGTATTGAACGAGCGTCCGGCCAATGCGTGTTGCCTGCTCGGCGATTTCCTGGCGCGAGTCATCGAGATGGGTGTCAGGGAAGCGCAGCGTGGCTTCCCTGGTGTTGGTATCGAGATTGGCCGCCAGGTTATCGAGCAGCTGCGCCCGCGCCGGTCTCGCGTTGGGGGGATCTGGACCCAAACGGAAAACGACCGTGTCCAACAACGGCGCAAATGCTTCGACCAGTTGCCGGGGCGTGTAGAGTCCGGACTTGAGGCCCCAGGCCTCGCGAGGGGTGTCCTTGTCGTGCGCGCCGGCATCAGGCTGGACGGCGATACTCTGGCCGACGAGGATACGGCCTGTCGCTCCGGCAGCGAGGCCGAACAGGCGAAATGCGGTGTCTGCGGTGGCTTTCATGGCAGCGGCTCTGATCATGTCGTTGAAGACCATCTGAATGAGGAGGATTCCAAGGACACCCAGACTCGGACGCATCGTGCCATTCCTGCGTAGTTATACCAACGACTGGAGGACGGAGGAAAGCAAAATGTTTCGAAAGCTGACAAATGCGTATCCGATGGTTCTTTTCGGGTTGTGTGTCTCCGTCTTTGCTCACGGAGTCCTCACGCGCCGGAGTTCGTGGTCGTCAAATGACCACCAGCTCCGGCGGCAACAACACAAGCCGATGGAGTTCCGCTGTCAAAGACACTTTCAGCCCATACATTGCAATGCACAGAAGCATGAATTTTGCAACACTCTGATGTGGTGGAATGGACGCTGGTGAAGCTGTATCCCCAGTCGTCATGACCTCGTTCGAAGTCATCAGGATTTCCTGTGAAGGAAGTACAACATCAATCTCCCACATAGTCAACCACGACACCGTCAACCAGTTCGTCGTCAACTTCCCAGCCCTCAGAAAACGACAATCGGGCCATATAACGAGAAGAGCCGAGTGCTTCGACACAGCCAGCTTTACCAGTGCGTCAGCTTAAGACTACGCAAAGGTCAATGCGATTGATGAGGAGACAAGTTGGGATTCGCTATTGGAGCAGTGATGGACATATGATAACAATTTGCAACATCCATTTCATTGGCATAGACTAAGCAAACGCAGTGAATACGCCCGTGACCCGTTGAGCGTCACATAAATCGTCAGCGTTACATCAATCGCAGGTATAATCGCAGTACATCGTCAAGTTTGACCCCGTCTGATTCACGCAAATTGCTCCAGCGCACAGAGAATGATAAACGACCGAAGCTCATTGGAGTCGGCAAACCCCGCGTTCGTCGCGCAATTCGCCCGGAGATCGTCCTGGGCGAACTTGGAGAAAAGCGTCTTGAGCGAGGGTTGGTGCTGGTGATTCGGGAGCTGCTCTGCGACGGGAATATCACCACCAGCAGCGCCCAAGGTTGAAAAAGGGTCGGTAGTGCCTGAAGAGCCAGGGGACGCGGGCGTGGCCTTGCGCCATTCGTCTTCGGTGCGGGCGCTCCACAGCGCTTGATCGCAGGGTAGAGGCATATTCATGATGAGCTCGTCGTTGAGGGGCTCGTAGTAGGGCGATTGGCGCCCCGAGTTGAGATCGCGGTTGCTGAAGAAGTTGACAATATTGGCGAGGAAGATGGTGCGGCGGGCGGTTTCGGCCACGGCCCATTTGACCCAGGAGTCTGTGACGTCGGGTCCGGCGTCGGCCGGGGGCAGGAGGGCCGTATCGTGCGACTCGAGGTAGGACCGCGAGAAACACTGGGTCATTTTGGAGAGGAAGGGTGACTTTAGCCCTTTGGTGCTGCGCTTCCGTTTCCAACTCTCGGATGCGTCGACGGGCGCGATGCCCATCTCGAGGATCTCGTATAGGAGCATTGCGTGCAGAGCGTCCCACTGTTCCATGCAGTGGTAGGTGGGCTGGTCTGTCAGTACGCTAGGAGATGATCGACAAAGGTCTTGCTTACATATGATTCGATCAAGCTTTGTCGTTGCGCGTCCATGGCTCTCTTGACGTAGCCGGCGGCGTCTTGGGCGCCCAAGGCACTTCCGCAGCAAATGGCCATGGATGTGTGCGGCAGAATCGTCATGTCCGCCACATGCTCGTTGAACAGGGTGCGGTGCACGAACGGACAGTAAAAATCGTCCTGAAGCAAGAGTCTCGGATACTGTGCAAGCAGACGGACGTAATTGGGTGGCCGCACCCCCGGCACATCAGGACTGCCGCCCAGACCGGCCAGGGTGGATACATCGGGAATCAATGGCCCCGGCAGCGCCATGGAGGTCTCCTCAACCAGCGTACTGTACGACTGTGGCGACGGAGCCGAGGGCAGTGGAAATGTGAAGCTCGGATGGCTGGTCGGGACTGCCGGCGTCAGGCCCGGGGTGACTTCGTGGACTACGCTTTCTGACGAGGGCAACGGCGGGAGATCGAGGGTATCCAGGGTCCAGATGAAGTTCTGGGAGCTCCACGAGTCCAAGCTGTCGCCGCCGGGATCACCAAGCGTGCTCTGAGGGCTCCATAGCGACGGGAATTCGGTTGTGCTCACGCGGGTTTCCTCGGGTCTGGGCTGATCTCTGGTCGCCGGGGACGAGGACGAGTCGGAAGAGTCGGAGGGGATGGAAGCTGCTGTGTTGGCGCTAGACACGTATTCGCATGGGATACCCCGTTTGGCGCATCTCGAGCAGGTCGGTTGCGTGCAGCAGCATTTGGTCTTGGCCAGCACACAGGCATTGCACGCTTTCCGGCGTACCCTGGGTTTGCTCGACCGCAGACACCGGCGTCGATGGCGCAAGAGGAGGTCACCTGGAAACCATCGGTCTAGACATCAGCTCCAGATGCAAGAAGATGGAGACTCAACAAACGGCGGAGACAAACGTCGTTGGTAGGTTTTGAAGCAGGAGTTGCACTGGTGAGCCTCGTTGGATGGCTCGGACGCTGGCATGGTCAAAGGGCGTCATCAGGGAGACAGAGACAGGAAATAACAAATAAGCCGGGGAGTGCCAGGTTTAAGTGAATAAACTCGGCAGAGTGAGTAAGCCAGAGGATCCGACATATCTTGTTTTTTTGAAACTTCTCGATCCTTCTATGTCTGTAGCCCTGGTGCGAAGAAAGACAAGGCATTGGTGAAAGGACAGACAATGAAAGGTGAGATTTAAGGAGGATTCGAAGCCATCCCGTGTGTGGTAAGCGTGGGGTCTAGTCTAGTATCGTATTATTAATTAATCTAAGTACAATGAATGTAACCTTGGCTATCTGCCTGGCTGATATTGGAGGTTCTGCATTCTTCGGCCGACTTTAGTGCTTATCTATTTCTCACACGGCTTGTTCTTCATGCGTTCACGACACACAAGAAATGGCCAGAGTAGAACCCACTGATCATACGGCGGACTATTTGTACAAAAGGGACTTTTGGTTTTTTTACAATGATTACATCTTACCACACTTACCCTCCCTACAGTTGCACGCACTGCAGTAATATTGAATTCTCACATAGTAGGGATATCAAATTGAATTGAATAGTATCAATATCAAATTCTCATATAGTAGGGATATTGAATCCTTATATACTAAGGTAGTGCCCCTATGTACAGAGTAGTTAGAATTTATATATTTAAGACTTAGGGTATACCCTACCACTTATACTATATATTCAGATTATATATAAGTATAGTAGTATTCAATATCCTACTACTATACCTCTATAAGAATTATATATTACTACTATTTAATTCAATATCCCTACTATATGAGGATTCGACATTGATACTATTCGATTTGATATCCCTACTATATGAGGATTCGACATTGATACTATTCGATTTGATATCCCTACTATATGAGATTTTGATATTGATACTATATGAGGATTCGACATTGATACTATTCTATTCGATTCGATATCCCTACTATATGAGGATTCGATATTGATATAACTTTTAATTATGTGTGGAGGTAGTGGCAATAGGTAATACATGCGGCAAACAGTAAAAAAAAATCCAAAAGTCCCTTTTGTACAAATAGTCCGCCGTAGATCAACGTCGCTCAGTTCCAATTTAGTTCGGTACATCTAAGGAACTAAAGCCTAGATTTGCGGGCCGCGATCCCCCAGACTTTTGGGCATAGCGTAATTATTTCGCCCCCACAACCGGCTCGTCCAGTATATCTTACGAGCCAGATGGCGCAAGGTCTGAGGAAGAGCTCGGCCATCCAGATGCCGTCCTCGGGCCTTTTTGACATCACGCGCAGCCCAGATTAGAAGTTATATCCTCAAAGCCAAGCGGAGCAGTATCAGATACGGACGCCCATACGAGATGAGCCGGCCGACCACTCCTGCGCCATGGCCGACTTCTTCTGCTGCACCTGCTCGTTGGAATTTAACAATCTCTCCTGGGTCGCTGACGGAGCATGGCTGTTCTGAGCAATTGTTGGAATAATCCCTATGCGTGTATGTGGTAATACCAGTAGTAATAACCGTGCTTGTACTGTACCTTTGAATAACTCCCAACAGACGTCGGCTGGATTGATTCCTTGGCCTCGCGCCATGACATGTCCAGCTTCAGGTGCAGTGCTTCGGACGGGGCCTGTTGTCTAGGACCAGCGAGAGCAAACAGAAGGTGGATGGAGTATCTTAATAGTGCCGCTTGAGTGGAGGTGATCGATCATGAAACTGAGCATCAGGGTGGCGGATGGCCGTTGCTTTATGGAGTATGGTAGCCTAAGATCGCCTGCTCCGGGCATGACTCCCCTAAAAGACAGCCCGGGAGTTGGTGGTCTTAGGCCCCGGAGTTTGGAGGTCGATCGGCAGACGGCCGCTGCGGGCTTCCATGTCCAGTCATGACATGCTTGGTGCATTCTACCGATTTTCGTTTGAAAAGGAACTATATTTATGCTTCTTCCTAGTCTTCCGTTATTTGGATCACCAATTGCCAACAGACATTGCCAAAAGACAAGCTTCATGGCTGCAGAGTCGAACCAGAGTTCCATTTCCAGCGAGACCCAGACGGTCTCTTCTCAGGGAGGCATCCCGAAAGGTGAGTCCACTAAGATTCTTCTGGCTTATTCAAAGACAGAAATGACTGACGCAGTTAACAGACACCATTCCTGACGAGAAAGACACCGAGAACGAACATGTCTACATCGCGGATAACCTCCCTCTTCATCGGCAGATTCCCTTCATCCTGACCATCTGCTCGGCCATGTACACGAATCAGCTCGGGCTGGGCCAAACAATGGACATTGTCCGCGTCATTGGGGATTGGTACGGAATCACCAACAGCAACGAACTGTCGTGGCTGGTGGCCGGCTACAGCTTGACCATTGGCACCTTCGTGCTGATTGCCGGTCGGCTGGGCGACGACTTTGGACACAAGAGGATGTTCATTATCGGCATGGGCTGGTACGCGCTGTGGACGCTCGTCTGCGGTCTAGCCGTCTATTCCACGCAGGTCCTCTTCATCTTCGCCCGGGTCTTCCAGGGAATGGGACCGGCCGTGACACTGCCCAACGCGATCGCCATTCTGGGCCAGTCGTACGCCCCCGGCCCGCGCAAGAACATGGCCTTTGCGTTCTTTGGCGGCAGTGCACCCTTTGGCGCCATCTCCGGCTTTGCAACGGGCGGCCTCTTTCTCTTTGCCCTGGCATGGTGGCCATGGGCTTACTGGAGCGCGGCCATTGCACTCGCCTGTCTGGCCGTGTTCGCCGTCTGGTCCATTCCGCCTCAACCGATGAGCAGTACGTCCAAAACTCGGACAATCCCCCAGAAGATCATCCACCTGGACCTCCCGGGCTGCATTACCGGCGTGGCCTCTTTGGTCCTGATCAATTTCGCATGGAACCAGGCCGCCGGTGTCGGCTGGCAAGAACCATACGTCTACGTGTGCCTTATCCTCGGGTTCCTGTTCGCGGTCGCCTTCTTCTGGGTGGAACTGCACTGGTCCACTGATCCAATCCTGCCTCTTGCAGCCTTCAACTCTGACATTGCGTTCGTCCTAGGCTGCACCGCCTGCGGCTGGGCGACCTTCGGCATCTGGGTGTACTACGCTGCCGTCGTCGTCATGGAGCTGAACAACGTCAGCCCTTTGCTCCTTGCGGCGTGGTACAGCCCGGTGATTCCCTCGGGTCTCGCCTCGGCGCTGGCGGTGGGGAAGCTGCTTGGCCGCGTCTCAGCCGCATGGGTCATGGTCATTGGCATGGTCGCGTACCTGATCGGCTCGATTCTCATCGCCACTATGCCGACGCACCAGATCTACTGGGGGAATTTCTTCTGGAGCGTGCTGATCATCTGCGTCGGTATGGACTCGTCCTTTCCCGCTGCGACGATCGTCTTCTCCGATGCTGTGCCGCCCAAGTACCAGGGTATTGGCGCCAGTGTGGTCATGACCGTTGTGAATTATAGTATTTCGCTGGGGCTGGGCTTTGCGGGGACGGTAGAGCGCGAGGTCAATCGTGGGGGCCACACCTATGATGATAAGAAGAGGGGGTATCAGGGTGCGTTCTACTTTGAGCTTGGGTTGGCCGGGTTGGGCCTGGTGATGAGTCTGGTCTTTTTGGTCAAGGATCACTTCCGCAAGAAGGCCAGGAAGGCTGCGGCGTATGAAGGGAGTGCTTAAGGAGACGACTGAGGAAGGGGAATTATGGTTCAATGTCTGTGCATGTCAGATGGTGAATAGAGAATGACTCCTCATGTTCTACTCTTTGTAATATACTATAATTTTGGGCCTGTGTACAACAGGTAGCAGGTTCCTTTTTAATGAATGGATTGGACCTTTTGACTTGTCAACTCAGTTATGATGATATGTTGAACAGTTAGATAATAATGCAGTCTGACAGCCAAGATACTCAGGGTTGAGTGTTCTATAACAAACCTGAAGCATTCATTCAACTACACAAGCTATCTAATTCTATCACATTATATTCAAGAAAAGCTCGTCCGCTTTTACTCCAGGTTTCTATTGAGATTATTATTGTGCACACTGTCAAAGCAGACCATAAAGTTCAGTCTGAGTGCTGCTTTAAGAGCTCCTTTGACTTCCGCGTATCCCTCGTACTACGATCATGTACCTGATTGGGCCATCCTACAGCTGCAGTTATGCCTTGTAAGTACTGTCATTCTCTCATAGAAGCTGCACTCAATCCAGTAAAAGTGATAGACTGATTATGTTGCCGTTATAAGCAAAGCCTGTCTAGATGCCACTGATATACAAGGTCACCGATCTCCTCTGGTTATAGTGGCCTGACTTCCATTATATTGACAGATGTCAATAGAACTAGCCCTAAAGGTTCGATGTCTTGTTGTCTATGCGGACCACCTGAGAAGTAGCTCTCTTTATTTGACAACCGTTCAAGGCCTGTAAGGCAATGCCAAGAAGCAGGTATTCAAATAAAAAACATCAACTCTCACTTTGATGCCGGCTAACCTCAGGTATGTCTGATAGAAGCCTTGTGCATGGAGGGTTTAAAGCCTGTGGCGAGAAGATCAATGTATATATGGGCCACTTATCCTCAAGAACTTTCATGCTGGAATCTAGAATACCATAAATTATATAGCATTTAAGAGAGTAATTATAACATATAGAGGGGTCCTGTGGCCTCTATCTCTACGCTGCAAGCTTTTATGAGGTTATATGTAGTGCTGCAGTGCATGCATGTTATGAAGAGCGTTTTGATAACATCAGAGGCAGCACTATCAGGATAGTACAGTTAGTACCTAACATGTGAATGGTTTTCTAGGGCTAATCAGAAAGCCAGACGACTGAAGATTTTAGACTAATCAGATTGAGCGCCAAGACAGTAATGAAATAAAACAAGAAGATGATCCTGGGAATCAGCCATGTTATGCTTTGTTAAAACAAACCAAGGAGATTGCCTAATAATGAAATCCAAACTTTCACACTCCCACCAAGTATAGACAACCAAAACCTTTAAGTTTGAGTACTCGATCCATCTTGCGGAAGCCCTTCCCGTTTAAGCTTAGCGGGGAGTTCATTCCACCTTAAAAGGAGGCATCCACCCTTCTTCCCAGGAAGCAACCAGCAACCAACAGATACGGATAAAATCATCATGGCTGAGCCATCTGATGATATCGAAGCATGGGCCTCTATGGAGAGTCTTTATGACAAAGCAATCCAGTCACCATCTGAGATAACTCAGGACGAGAAACATTCTATACTGGAATGGCCCTCCTTGGAACAAATGGAGGAGACAAGTCAAAAATACGTTGGCAAGTCTTTGCAAGATCTCATTCACACAGCGGCCAATGATCCTCTCGCTCTCACGTATCCGGAATGCTGCTTGATTAAAGACGATTTCCATATATTTAGGTCTCTTGATGCTGTCAAATACAGTAATGACCGAAGGAAACGCATGATCGAGCGTCAGGACTTATGGAACAAGTGGCAGCAGGCGCGGGCTGCTGTTTTATCACCAGATGAACTCAAGGCTCTTGAAAACGTCCATGAGGTCTTTCTTGAGAAGCAAAAGGCTCACGCAGAGCCTATTCTTAAAGCTGCACAGAGATCCAATCCTCATCCGCCGGACTGGGTCCAGAGAATCCTCGACCGTGAGGGCAAAGGCTGGGGTTATGTGATCTACCGTCCTTCAATCACTCATGAGGACGAAGGTACCAAGGAGGCATGGAGAGCGTGCTGGGACAACTTTAATGAACTTTTGAGTTTTCACCCGGTCATGGTTATTGGCGGTGAAGAAATCCAAGATTCGAAAACCATTGATTTTGTCGATTATGAACCGGAAGTGGGCGAAGTTGATCAGCTTCGAAAGTAAGTTACTCTCACGGATGACCGTTGGTACTTGCTAACTTAGGCTATTCAGGGACTTTCGCGACCGTCGAGACGGAGGCGGTCTCAAACCAGGTGTTCTTTCAAATGTATTCATCATTGTGCCCACCGAATGTCGAGATACCTATCTGCGAGAAGATAGATATGCTTGGGCTTGGGCTATTGATCCTGACTGGTCATTACCGCGCCCAAGTGCTGACGGCTACGATGGACGTGTCAAGGTTACCTGGGCTCAGCTGTTCAACAAATTCTATGATCTCATGTCGACCAAAAAGGTCACTTTGAAGGACATCTGGGAAGAGTTCCATGAGGTCAATGAGAAGCTCCCTGAGCCATTGCCTGGCTGGCTCTCCACAAAACTACCCAAAGTGGTTTGGCCAGATAACTGACCATTCTTGTAATTTTTCCTCCTTGCGTGCATTTATAGAATTTGTACAGCTGGGATAGACATAACCTAATGCAAGAAACAGCCTGTCTGAATTCACAGTGTATCCATATATCTTCCGATCAGTTGATGATTGCATGTGCCTCTCAGTTGGGGAGAAAAAACACGGACGTGTCAAACTGGATATTCTGTATCCGTATCCTCATCCGCTGAATATCCTGTAGCATAGCAGACGCAGAGGCTCTGGTGGCTGCGTCTGGTGCAACGTTATACACTTCTCGCCAGGTATCCTCCAATTGATTCAGATGGTCCACAACCCAAGTGTTGACCCAAAGTGTCAAACGACCAAAGAAGTTTGTCATGAACTCCCTCCAGAGGATATAGGTGTCGTATTTCCCGCCAGGTCGGGCTTTATTGACAGTAGATTGAAACAGGCGCCATTCTCTAGAGGTCCCACTATATACCCGTCCCAGTATGCTGTTGACATTGAAATCGTTGAGATATTCAAACACAGAGATTACCTGTAATTTCAGTGAAGCTATATTAGCTGAACATATCACAAGAGTACGGTGAGGTAGGTGGAACAGAAGTCTTCCTTACAACTCGGATCTGGTCTAAAGCGGCAGGGGCGCGGGAAAAATCAGGGACATTCACATTAGCCCATGTGTCATCCCCAAATGGCTGTTTGCCGTTGAAAATCTGCGATGAATGTAAGCGAATCCTGCCTATAATGCCCGAAGCAAGCCGGTTGGAGATCTCCTCATACTCTTCCTTTGACCGAATTCAAATGTGATTCTGCGTTTACCAAGACCCCAGGATTTGCTTTTGAGCCCAATGAATCAAAGATCCTGCTAATGGGGCTGCCTGCTACTGAAGTGATGCCAGCAGCCCACTGTGAATAGTCCAGGCCCAACAGTTGAGCAACATCCCAGGGAAGTAAATTGTTTTTTGATCTGTACTCTGCTAGCCCCTGAACTGGCGGTAGGATACCAGTCACCATGAATTCAATGGCGCGAGGGATTAGCTGAAGCTCCAGTATATGTTCCGCTGCGGATGCGTCATCAATAACCATGTCCCATAAAGCAATGTCAAGAACAGGGGATCTACTTACTAACCCAGGCCCAAATGTTGTTGGGCGCATTAGGATCAATCGTGGCATCAGTACAGTCTGCGGGGTTAGCCAGGGCGAAACGGACGGTTAAGCCATTGGCCCGTTCGAGAGAGTTGCCGCCGTCGCCGTTAGGATATGGCTGGGAATCAATATACATGACTCGACGCAGGTTAGTAACGGGGTCGATTCCACAGTCCACAGTAAACAGCCTTGATTGGCCGTCGCGCTTGTCGAGGGGGGTGAGTGCCCTTTTTGCTGCGGAACCGGAAGAGGTGCCGTACGTATCCGGATCTACACTGTACTCGGGATCCCAGGCATCACGATCAATGTTCGCACATGTGACGTTCTCAGATACTGGCATCGTACAGAGCTTGATAAACTCGTCCCATTTTGGAAGATTGCAAATGATGTCCCCGGCCAGATCAGTGGCAACTGTGCCATAGAAATCCCACTGGTTCATCAGGAACGGCATCATCTGAGAGGTGGCCAGGTAGGTGTATTGGGCCCCAATGATTTTATCCCAGACTTTGATTTCTTTAGAGACTTTGGCCGCGATAGAATTGGACCGGTAGGCAAAGATTATATCGGTCAGGAGTATGATAATGGAATTGCTTGAGAACAGGATCAACTGGTCCTGACGCTTCTCAAAGGGGGCATATTGGCCACCCATGACCAAATCTCGTGTTGGATGACCCGTGAAAATCCCGTAAGGCGTTGATCGCTTTTTCAAGCTACCATAAAGCCATGAATCGCTAAAGCTGCTGCTGGAACAGGTCGGATTCTGCAGCCATGCCGTCAAATCCGATTCCCATAGCGTGACCAACGGGTCTACTGGAGTGATGGTGGTCGTGTACTTGGGAGAGCAGCATTTGGCCCGGGAACCTGTTTTCCTTGCACAGGTATTATAGTGTTCCATCGCAACCCTGACCTTGTCAGCGGGGCAGTTTGAGGCACAGTAGCTTTGAGTACCTGCAGGCCGAAGTATTAGACCAGTAGCACTGTAGTGGTCCTCCCATGTGCAGTCATCCCACTTCATGTTGTCATCGCCCGAATCGCAGCAGTATTTGCGCTCCTCGTTTCTGTTGGTTCTCCAATCGCCACCGCAGGCAGAGCCTCCATTGCCGTTGCAGGACAACGCGAGGATGTCGGGATTCTGCGCAGGACAGGTGTAACGGTCACATAAGAAGGAAGCCCCCCATTCGCACTTCCGATGCAGGGCCATATTTTTGGTGCCCGTAGTGCAGCAGGCAGCCTGATAATTGCCATTTACAGTAGTGCAGCCCCTATTAGTGCCGCCGATCTCGGTCATTCCATCTGGACACTTGCCCTCACAGCGGCCGTTGTTGAACGTGTACCAACCACAAGTGGGGACTTCTTGATCTGGAGGACAGCAAAGCACATGGAACTGCTTTTCCACAAGACAACCGCCGTCGTCGAGCATGATCTCGCCTTCACGTTTTCCGCGGTCACTGCGGTCAACGGTGACCCATCCGGAAGGGCACCCTTCTCCGCAATTAGTCCATTTGCATTGGTCATGCTTGATGGTGATGGTGTCGTTCTGCTCGACGTGATCGGCAAGTGCGACCACTTTGCGATTTGCTACGGTAGCGAGTGCCCGAGAATAGGTGCCATCCAGTAGGTCATGGCTAATCGCCCATACCATAACACCACCCAAGCATTGACTCCGGGCGAAGTCGGCCTTGAGCTGGAAGGTGTCTGCGTCGTCATATCCCACCCATTGATTGTCCCAGGCGGCAGCCTTGACAGCTTCATCCTTGTAAAGTGTAGGTTTCAGGCTCTTTTCTTTGATAAATTTGTCTATTTCCGAGATCATCAGAATACCGACTTCACTGCTGCATTCGCCAGGCTCAGCGCCAGAGGCAAACAAGCATCCAGGTGTAGTGCATGCAGGGTCAACAACAGTGAAAGCTCGCCCATAAAACGCCATTCCGAGGACGACCTTCTCAGGAGGGATGTCGTTGCGCCAGAGGAGATCCATGGAGTTTTTGATCTCTGTGAGATTGGTATGTGCGTTGAGATACGCCCCAAGCCATTTGTTGCCCTTATCCCAGGTTCCGTGCATGTCATAGGTCATGACATTGAGAAAATCTACATGCTGGGAGATCTGCTTGACGTCAAAATTCTGGAGATACCAATATGAAGCCGGGAGGGTGATGCTGAGGCCGTCCCGGCCTCCAGTATTTTTGAGCGCCGCCTTGAGATTCTTCAGTAGGATGGGGAGATTTTTGTAGTCCTCGGGGCGGCCTCTGCGATCATCAGCCACTGGATACTCCCAATCAAGATCAATTCCGTCGAAATTGTAGGTGGCCATGAATCTGACAAGGGACTTGAAGAACGTCTTTTGCTTCTCTGTAGAAGCAGCCAAGTCCGAGAATGTGGTTGCAGTTGGACCAGGGTCATTGTAGGCCCATCCTCCAACTGCAATGAAGACTTTGAGATCAGGATCAATCGTCTTGAGATAAGTCACTCGCCTGTAGAGATCAATATCGGCGTTTAGCGAGGGCGCAATCTCAAAGGTCTCGGGGTTGATGACAGCGAATGCCACATTAATGTGAGTATAAACCCCAAGGGGGATCTTCTCTGGCCAGAATTTATTGCATGGTCGGCGGCTGCTCCATGTCTCATAGTATCCAACCACACGTTGGAGACTGCCGGACTTGGAGCAAGAAGGTCGATCTACCTTCTTGTCACCACAGAATTCCGCCGTGGTACCGCAGAACCCATATTTAGAGCAGCAGACATTCAAGGGGCAAGAAGAAACATCAGCCCATTCGGCCCCAAAGCCCGGATCACACTCGGCTTTACTATCGCAGCCAGCAACGCAGTTCGTCCCACAATCTGGGCAATTTCTCGTCAATCCTGAGGGGAATTAAAACGGAAATGTAGCATGGAAGTACGTACAGTCCGGCCCGAGACCACAAACCCCATACTTATTGCAGCAGCCCGTCTTGCATGGATTCCTCGCATCGCAGCCCAGCTTGTAGTCACAAGTGTCCACGCAGTCCTCGCCACAGAATTTATCGCCTGTTCCGCAATAGCCATACTTGGAACAGCAGCCAGCGGCGCAAGGGTTTTCCTTGCTGCAGGTCTGAGCTGCAACCTGCAGCACAAATAGCAGAAGAAGATATAAAAGGAAAAATCTTGCCATCGTGGGAAGAGCAAATACACTCATTGATCCCAAAGCCAGAAAGCAGGACTTTATGGGGGCACACGCCCAGTTTGCTGCTGTTCAGTAAGGTTTTTGTCAGCAATAATGGGAGTAACCGCCTTGGAGAAGTGGACACCGGAGCATATATTGTTATTGCAGTCGCCAATGCGAATAAAGACCGAGGACCGCCATGCGATGTCCATGATCAAGCTACTAGAGCCTTTCTTGAATCGCCAGGATTTGTCCGTTACTCGCCGCCTCGTGTGGGCTCATATCTCCTATTTTCGCAAGCGTAAATCTTTCTGTCTCTCTGGCTTTCCACCTAGAGGAATGCACAGTCAAGGCAGCCGATGAAGGCACCCCTGTAAGGTGCCAATATACCCGATACGGCGCAGTTGGAAGAACGAGGGGCCCTTTTCTAAGGTACTCCACTCATATAGTGCATTTTTCTTTCGATCCCAACGGCCTGGCCGAAGCACTAGCTGTATGCGCTAAGTGAATTTCTGATTGTAGCCTGTCGAACGAGACGGGGCGACATTAGCGAACCGGTGAGTGATGAGGATGACCATGAGGCAAAAAGATCGCACTAATGGAGCTAGATTGTCTATCCGTGTGTTGGAGGATTGGACCCCTCTGGACCGAGGATTATAACCACTAGATAGTCACTAGTCCCTAGGCTAACTGCGTATCGAGTGTTCTTTGACCAAAACAATGCCCTAACTCCGTTGAAATATCTCGGCCAAATCCAGGGGTTCATATCTGACATTTAGAATAAAAAAGTGCTATCAGCTTGGCTGCTTTCACTACTGCTCTCCACTTTCTTTTTTATGTTTTTCTTCATATACAGATATGTATTTCCCTTGTCGCACAACATGGATATTCGATGGAGGCCGAAAGCCTTGAATTGCCGCCAGTTCGAGCACAGGGTGGGTCGTTGGGACCTTTCGAACATCGCATCGACACTAATTCTCTTGGCAGGAGTATACACCAGTGCAGAGTACAGACAGCTTTGTACGATACTATTATTACCTTCCATACTGGGCAATTGCGGAAGAGATACTTCGTTGAGGCGAAGACAGCCCCGTACTTTAGCCGAAAAACGAAGTCTAATATAGAGAGTACGCCGAGTAACGCCGTAGAATTGACCAATCGGATATTCTTGGGCAACAGCACGTAGGCACTCCGCATTTTGCACTGACTCCAGTGAGGGATCATGATCCTTTAGATAGTCACCAGATTGCCGTAAGTTGTAACCATAGGTTGAGGAAATAGCATCTCTTGGCAGCTTGGCATAATTTCCTTTCCCCTAGGTACATAATACTCCGTAAGAATAAAGTCCTTGTCCGGCCGATCTGGGTGCGAGTCGATCGGTTCCACACTTAGCTAAGGGCTCAAGGTTTTGTTATGGAGCCATTATTAGACCGCAAATGGAGAGAGCAGGATGGACTTAGCAGTACTACAGTCCAGAGGCAAGTAGACTATGTGGAGCTCGTCCAATGGGTCAATCGCCTACTCCCGAAGCGATCAGGACGAGCGCAGCCAGCAACCTGATAGGTACACCGTACACATGCAGTTGCAAAATAAGGGAACCGTGGAGATATTTTTCCTTACTCAGCCATCTTCTAGATCCATCGACATTTCTTCGTGAGCTAACATCAATAACAATGGGGTCGAAGTGCTGGGACTGTGGAATCTCTGGCAGTACACTCGCTAGTATTACCCCTAAACTAAAGCTGCACAAAGCATACACTAGTAGATAGTTCTTGCTTGGCGTTTGTATTGTTCAAAATATTGGCATAGGGAATCTTCAAGCATAGTCAAGGGTCGTAGGAAACCATCCTAAACTTAGCGTTCTCAAATATGCACCTCTACTACAACGGCCTAACAGTCTAGTTCAAGGCCAATACCACTAGTGCCCAATTGATCCATTATACTGTACGCTGAGCGTCCGCCGGATCATGATCGGATGGAAGACCTTGTCCGGAATACGGCTAATTGCGCCTCGAGTTCACAAGGAGAGAAAGTGGCGCAGAGTACGGAGTATCTAGCCTGGCTATCGCCTCCCTTCTGCCGGCACGAATATTGCACGTCTAAGTTGTAGTAGAGGTTGCTGAATTACAAAACTTCCTCGGGGCCAGTATACCCTTGGAGCCAGCAAGAAACAACTGTTGATCGTAGGGCTTACTTGTGCTCGTTCCGAGCATCGACGCACAATGGAACGCTGGCACACGATATCTCAGAGTCTCGCTTTGGCTATCTTGTTTTTCCTGTTCATCAGCACTCATTTCTCCGTCGTTACGTCTCAACATGCGCACCACAGTCACCATCAACTCCATCACCGTGGACGAGAGATAGAGAACGCTCAAAACTCAGCGCTAAAGACAGTTAAAGAGGCTTTGGAAGCACTTCGCATAGCCAATAAACTCCGCGTCGAGAATTCGCAATTCAACAAGTATGAATTCAGCACAGCTACAACCGACCATCAACAGTCAGAAGCAGTGCCACTGCTTGACTACGCGGACCCCGCAAAGAATGCTTCTTTGTCGAAGCTAAGCCGGCGCCAGATAGCAAATGAATCTGCGCCCGCCGACTCTGGCAGCAGATATGGCTATACGCTCTCCCCTGAGGTCATTCAAGCGGCGAAGGAGGTTGCAGAGTCGCAGCCACCAGCTTCATGGGAAGTCGATTACGCGGCCATTGCAGCACAGATTCGCGCGAAATATGACCCAGGCAACAACGACACAAACTCTATGATTCAAAAGCTTGTCCGACCAAACGGGCTTCTGGAGTATACCTCATTTGATCAGCCAGATGGCCTCCAACAGCCATTCCAGAACACGATCACCAAGCGAGCCACTTCTTCGTACTGGATGGCTACTATGGAGCAAAACGGAGCCAGTCCATATGCTCCGGCCGGGTACAAGGTATGCTGTTCTGGTGCACCCAGTCGTTCTAGTCGAGGGTCGGTTCTAACCTTTGTCCAGGTTTGGCGAAATGTGATGGACTATGGGGCCAAAGGTAAGACGCCGATGCCTCCCACCTTGAGACATGCGTATAATATGTTAATGGAAAGCAAGGTGACGGGGTGACCGATGATACTGAAGCCATAAACCGCGCCATTTCAGACGGAGGCCGATGTGGTGCTGGATGTCGATCGAGCACCATTTTCCCTGCTGTCGTATGGTTTCCCTCGGGCACCTATCTTGTCAGCAGCTCGATCATCCAGTACTATAACACACAGCTTCTCGGTGACGTATGTTTATTCCCGGGACTCCAGAAAGAGTATTATGCAAGGAAGACGTCCTAATAGTTCCAATTCAGCCGACGAACTTGCCCACTATTCTGGCAGCGTCCAGTTTCGTGGGCCTAGGGGTTATCACATCCGATGTCTATATGGGCCAAACTGAAGAATGGTGCGCCGGATCCGTTCTGACCTGCTTTGCCTGGATTGTATGGTCTAATGCTGATTTCTCCATAGGTACCTCAATACAAACAACTTCCTCAGAAGTATCAGGAATTTCAAAATAGATATCACTCGTACCGACCAATCCGCATACGTTTGTGCAATTCACTGGCAAGTTGCCCAAGGTACATCCTTGGAAAACATTGAATTTTACATGCTGCAGAACGTCGAGGGAAACACTCAACAAGTAATGATGCCTTATCTCCTCGTTGGCAGACTATACTGACGTTTATATCCCCCGTTTAGGGCATCTACATGGAAAATGGCAGTGGGGGTTTCTTGGCTGATCTGACATTTGTGGGCGGCAACTTTGGGTATGTGATCATCAACATTTTGGCAATCCTTGCAATACTGGCGAGACGCTGACCCCCTGCGCATGTAGTGCTTATTTTGGAAATCAGCAGTTTACTACGAGTCATTTAGTCTTTGTGAATTGCAAAACGGCTCTCCAGATCCATTGGGACTGGGCTTGGACTATGCAGGATGTCGTCGTTGAATCATGTGGTACTGGACTGGTAGTCACTGGGGGTGTAAGACTATCCTACTAACGCTAACCTCGTGATATCTGCTAATACTTATCTGGACAATCCCGTAGGCGGGGGGCTCCTTAAGCACGGGGCAATCCTTAGGTTCTCTGGTGCTTGTAGATGCCATAATTGCCAATACACCCAATGGCATCGTGACGTCCCTCTATGCGGAAAACTCAACCTCCCTTTTGTTGCAGAATGTTGGCTTCTTCAACGTCCAGAACGCAGTCACTGATACTGTCCTGTCGAAGGTGCTACTGGCCGGAGGCAACGAGGTTCGTATTGACAACTGGGGGTTTGGTAGAGTGACAGACTCCAAAGGGACCAGTTTCTTTGCAAATGCAGAGAATATCCCGGTCATGAATCGCACCCAATCTCTCCTATCGTCGGAACTGGCATACGTCAAGCCAAACTTCTACACTCGCCGTCGACCCAAGTATACGGATGTTGGGACGAGCCAGATCATCAACCTTAAAACCGCCGGGGCCAGAGGAGACGGCCAGACCGATGATACGAGTGTCCTAAATAGCATCTTTGCAGCAGCGGCTAACATGTCTGCTATTGTCTTTATACCTCATGGGATCTACGTGATTACAGACACCGTGAGAATTCCAGTTGGATCACGGATAATTGGACAGGCATGGCCACAAATCATGGCTAAAGGCTCTAAATTCGCGGATCCGTCGGCAACTCGTGCTGCAGTCCAGGTGGGGTCGCCGGGGGACTCTGGTGTAGTAGAAATCCAAGACCTGCTGTTCACTGTTTCAGGAAACACTGCAGGCGCAATCCTTGTGCAATGGAACGTCCACGAGGCTGCGCGGGGTTCAGCAGGGCTATGGGGTCAGTTGGACTTGTCTGCCGGTTGGATGCGCTTGCTAACCTTCTTATGTATCCAGACTCCCACTTTCGCGTTGGAGGAGCCCTGGGTTCCAGTCTGCAGGCGGCCCAGTGTCCCAAAAATGGAGGCATCAATATCAACTGCATCGCTGCATCTGCTCTCCTTCATATCACTGCTAAATCCTCAGTATACATGGAGAACGTCTGGATGTGGGTTGCTGATCATGACCTGGATTCGCCGGAGGAAGTACAGATTGACATATTCTCCGGTCGTGGTGTTCTGATTGAGAGCCAGGGCCCAACATGGATGTACGGCACTGCCGCAGAACATAACGTTCTGTATCAGTATCAATTATCCAACGCCAGCAACATCGTGATGGGCATGATCCAGACCGAGTCCCCGTACTTTCAGAGTCATCCCGGAGCGCCTCTGCCCATCATGACGGGTAACCTTCCGAATGATCCAACTTTCACAAACTGTTCGGCTGAGTCGGCAACCTGTGCAGTCTCATGGGCCGTGCGGATGGTCAACTCCTCAACTGTATATCTGCTCGGGGCTGGACTCTACAGCTGGTTTTCAAGCTACTCGCAAGATTGCCTGGCCACGGAAAACTGTCAGGATAAGGCCTTTGAGGTGGTTCAGAGCTACGACCTCTGGATTTACAATCTAGTCACCAAGGCCATCGTCGAGATGGTCAGTCCGGTGAACGAGTCGCCTACTTTGGCAAAAGATAACAAAAACGGCTTCATGTCATCCATCCTTGCGTGGCTGAAGGGTTCACAAGACACCACAGGCCAGAAGAAGTTCCCTGGGTTTACCATCTATGAACCCGACGACCTTCCATCCAGTTTCTCTGGCGAATGTGTCGCTGCCCTTACAGCCACAATTGACTGCGTTGACTATGTCTTTTCCTTCTACGAATCAGCCTACCGTGGGGCTCTGGGAGATGCTAGCCTCACCGAGGCAGTCTGTGACCAGGGCTGTGGCGACTCGCTCGCTGCCTGGTTCAACAATGTACAAAAGAACTGTCCTGGATACAAGTTGTTCAACGGACCCGTGGTCCGCTTCGGGGGCAACATGTGGGCCGGTTGGAACGAGACCTGCTATAAGGACCCGACGACGGGCCAGTACTGTAATGGTAAGTCACCCTTGTGCCTCTTTTCCTCGGTCCATGGTTGCTACTCTGTCAACTAACACCCAATATGAGCTAGACATCATTGAAAGTTTCACTACGGTAGCGACAGTAGAAGACATGCCGCATGACGAGCTTTGCTCCTACTGCTACGTTACAAAGCTAAAGATGATGCAGTCCAGCCAATACTCATACTACAATGAGCTGTTCCAGCACCACCTCGAGACGGTGACCTCAAAATGCGGCATTTCAGCCAATACCACCATTCCCCCGCCTCTCACCATCGTGGAGCCGGAGGAAGAACCTCTGTGCTTGTCGGATAACATCTACTATACCAAGGACGGAGACACATGCACGTCCATTGCTCTGGATTACTCAGTGTCGTCTGCTGCATTGTACATGGGCAACCAAGATCTCATTCGTAATTGCCAGAGGGTTGCTGTTGGCCAGAAATTATGTCTCCCACTGTCATGTGAGCACACTTATGTCCTGCAGCCCAACGATACGTGCCGCAGTATTGAACAGGTCAACGCGCAAATCATGTTTGACAGCAGCACCAGGATGATCACTCCGTTACGGCAACTCAATCCGTGGATTGATGCTTACTGCACCAATTTACAGGATACGGCGCGGGCATATAGGAGCGTTCTCTGTCTCTCTCCCCAGCTGGGAGCGTTCAATGCCTCCGACCCGGTGATCACTTCGCGCAACCCTTACGCACAGAGCACCGGGTACGGATCTTACTTGGTTGATCCGCCTGAGAACACGACTGTGGCTACTGGTACAACGCTACGGTGCGGTAGATGGCATGTGGCCGCGGGGAGTGAGTCATGTGCCGCAATCTGCATGCAAGATGGGATTACCAGCTCCTTGTTCTTGGCTGTGAATCCATCCCTGAATTTGGCTACGTGCGATAAAGGCCTAGTGCCAGGTGTTGCGTACTGTACAGGGCCAATGGCTGGGTGGAACTACACTGTAGCATTGAGTTGAATAAGGTCTAAGCCTGCATCAGCAACGGTGCAGCTGCTGTGAATATCAATTATTACAAGTCCATCTACAAAGATAGTGTCAAGGAGTCAATGTTGACGCTATACAAGGACCTAGTTAGATGTAGCAATCAGACAACAACTCATGGTAACAGTCCACCGCGCTGGCCCTAGAGTGATAGCCTACAGTAAGTGCTTGAGTACACGTCTCTTGTTCCTCACCTTTTGCCAGATAAGGAACTTGTCGGTACGAGGATTAGTATATCATCTGTTGCAGCATCTGGTGACTTTGTTGGTTGTCCCGTTACGTCTGCCTTGAATGATCTAGACTGGCGTATTCTGGAAGAGCCAGGGCTTGAATGGCTGTTGCATGTTTGGCCGGGCTGTTCTGATGATGTCTATTATAAGATGCCCAGAACGAGTTGGCCATTATACTGGCTGTTTCATGTCGGACATGGAGCAGTATAGATAGCAGTAGTTTTGGTCCAAATTAGGGTTACCTTATTCTTATCCGTCTCAACGTGACATCATCCCTTACCTCTTCTTCATCTCCATCACTCCATCCTCCAGATGACAATGGCTAAACGGACACTGGAATCCTTCTACAAACCCATCAGTAAACCGAAGAAACCGCGTATTGAGGACACTCCTCCATCGTCCTACTCCCGTCATCCCAGCTATCCCTTCCCCATCGCGGATCTACCCCCGTCCATCGCCAACGCGCTCCCAGATCTCCCAGCCACCACACCACGCCGCATCACCAACCAGCCGCACCTGGACCTGCTCTACTACCAACCGTTCATTCCTCCAACTACCGCCCGGGAGCTCTTCCACTTTCTCCGCCGCGAACTCCCCTTCTACCGCGTCCAGTACACCATCCGCCGCGGCTCGACCACGACCCAGATCACCACCCCGCGCTTCACCACCGTCTTTGGCGTCGACGACACCTCCATCTTCACCCCTTCACCAAATACCTCTAATTCCACTCTAGTCGACAGTAAAACCCACACCCCCATCCCAAGCACCAAATACAAATCCACTCCCCGCCCAATCCCGCCCTGCCTCGACGCCCTGCGCCACCGCGTCGAGGCCGCTACCGACGGCACGGCCTACAACTTCTGCCTGGTAAACTACTACGCATCAGGGGACGACAGTATCGCCTACCACTCGGACGACGAGCGGTTCCTCGGCCCGAATCCGTGCATTGCCTCGTTGTCGCTTGGCGCAAAGCGGGATTTCCTTATGAAGCATAAGCTGACTGAAGGTGTTGAGGCAGCGCCGGTCAAGATGTCTCTGGCGGAGGGGGATATGGTGGTCATGCGGGGTGAGACGCAGGCGAATTGGTTGCATTCTGTTCCGAAGCGGAGGGGCGGGGAGGCGTGGCAAGGGAGGATTAATATTACGTTTCGGAGGGGGGTGGTGCCTGCTGGGACGGAGAATTATTATAGGTATAATGTGGGGGAGGGGAGGGTCTACAGGTGGAGTGAGGAGGAGGAGAGGATGGTAGAGAGCTGTTGATATGGGAGGATATGATACGGTATAGCATTTTGTATACCAGGCGCCAACATGGAGATGGATGTCAGGGATGTTTACGAGGGCCAACCAGCATTGTTGCAACTGCGTCGTCAGCTTTGTCCAGTCCCCCGAGGCAGGGATACCTGGTCAGCATGAATACCCCGCTCAGGCTGACTATATATGTCAGCACCTTTGTGGCGATTAGAGAGCAGTCAGCATGGCTTCTTCACTTCCTGTCTATTCGCTGCAAGATGTCTCGCGGCATAATAGCCCAAAAGACCTCTGGATAGTAATCGACAAGGAAATCTACGACGTCACCCAGTTCCAGGGAGAGCATCCCGGGGGTGAGAAGAGTGAGTTATCTCCTGATAGACATAGAACAGCATCTGACAAGACAGTTCTGCGAAAGGTCGCTGGAAAAGACGCAACGGAGAAATTCCTCGAGTATCATGGCGTGTCTATCCTCAGTCGTTATCGAGAACGGTTGCAAGTCGGAGTGTTGGAGGAGACCGCGGCCCCGAAGCCAAAGAAGGGATTCCTCAGTAGATTCTTTAGTTCATGATCTATGGCTCATGATCTATGTGTCACCTGTATTTAGACCGTCTAAAGCTTCGGCCTCAATCCAGCGTCAATATCCCTCTTACTATCCTCCCTCAACACCCGCTTGAGGATCTTCCCACTAGCAGACTTCTCAATGGCATCCACAAACTTAACACCCCCGGTCAGCGCCTTGTACCTGGCCAGTCTCTCACCAAGATACTTCCGCACATCCTCCTCCGTCAGATTCTCGCCTTCTCTACCGGGCCGTCTAACCACATACGCACGGGGATACTCCGTGTCCGCCCCAGGAAACACCAGCCCAATCACCGCCGCATCAACAATGTGCGGATGGCCCAGCAGAACAGCCTCCAGCTCCGCCGGCGCAACCTGGAACCCACGAACCTTGATAAGCTCTTTCCTCCGGTCGACGATGTACCATTTGCGCGTGCGACCGTCGCAGTACGCGATATCGCCCGTTTTGTGCCAGCCATCGTTATCGAAGGACAGGGCGTTGGCGGGGTCGTTGCCGTAGTAGCCCGGTGTGACGATGGGTCCGCGAATGCACAGCTCGCCGCGGACGTCAAACGCGGAGATGTTATTCCCGTTCTCGTCGATTAGTCTGGATGGTTAGTAGATGGCTCAAGAAGGTGGAGGGAGGGAAATACTTGGCTTCGATGTTCGGGATTAACCGGCCCACCGACCCCGTGTCGTCGTCCTCTGGGTACATGAACATCGTCGCAACGGCGCACGTCTCCGTCATGCCCCAGACCTGGGTAAAGGGGGTTCCCTCTTTGAGGAGGGTGCGGAACCGCGCCTGCACGTCTTTGTCGAGCGGGGCGGCGCCGCAGTTGACGTTCTTGATGGAGCGCAGGAATGGCCGGGTCCGCGAGAATGGAGACTGCAGGATGGCGATAGCCATGGGCGGGACGATGACCATGTCGGTTACTTGGCATTTTTCGTTGGAGACCAGGAATGTCTCGAGGTCGAAGCGGCGCATCATGTAGACTTTGTGACCGGCTTTGAGGGCGCCGAAGTGTGCCATGATCGCGGCCCCGACGTGGAAGATGGGCATTGCGACGATGCGGGAAACCTGGTATGGTCGGGGATGCACCTCGTTGCACAGCTCGTGCTCTGCGATGAAGTTGTGATGCGTGATGGTCACGGCTTTGGGTAGGCCTGTTGTCCCACTGCTGAATAGTCGTGCGGCTGCGGTTTCCTTGGCCCGTTGCAGGTCATCAAATGCCACCCAGTCCTCTTCGCCGTGGTTGAACAGATCCTTCCATGATCGTCCACCAGCGGGGATCTCCTGTCCCAGGACATCGAAGATGAGTACGTTCCCTTCGGGAATGCCTCTCTCCTTGAGGGCCGCAAGAACAGGCGCCAGAATCTCCGGTTCGGAGATTACAAACTTTGTGTCGGACGCCTTGAAATGATGCGCCAGCTCCATCGTCGTGTAGGATGGATTGGTACCGGTGTAGACACCGCCGGCGCCAATGATGGCCAAGACTAGCACACAATAGTAGATCTACTAACCATTAGCCGAGCAAGGTGGATAGGAGAGGGAGAATACATCATTGAAAGAGTGGATGGCGACGCAATCGCCTGGTTCGACTCCCCACGCGCGTAGGCCAGCTATCAACTGGCGGATGATCTTCCGAGCTTGAGCGCAGCTGATCGATCGAGAGGGATTGTGGACATCAATGTAGATCTGTCAGCATCAGTATTGTGAATGATCTTCGATAGGATCGGACTACCGGTCCGCTGGCATCATATGTATTGTCGAAGATGTAGGAGAGGACATCCACAGAAGGGAGGAGGACGCGCTCCGCTGGTTCAAAGATCATCTTGGTAGTGTAATTCAGGAGTGCAAGCTATTGTGGTGGAGTAGTTGGAGATGAAGTGATACAAGTCGATCTGTTTATGTGCACAGTTGTTTACCCCGCTCCGCCGAGCTGTCAGCTTCGCGGTGAATATAAGGCCGCGGATGACTTTCCAGGCATTTTTCCTTAAATTTCCGATAATACATTATAGGTCAAAAGTCTGTGCACACTCGAATTTTTCGAAAAAATCAACTATCTTTAATCCCATATTTCTTAACCACCATATGATTACAGTATAAAATAATAAACCATAGGATAGTAGATATCAATATTTAGTGTACCAGCCCCTTGCCTAGTATACTGCATGTAATCTACGCGGCATTGAGCATATAAGATAGTTAATTACCTCCTGCGGGATAGCATTCTATGCCTCATGGATAGCACATCTAAATCACCTCTAATTGACCCTTGATCTGCCTCCTAGAAAGAGCTTAGGATAGAGTTCTAAAAGCTTCTTCTTTAAGAGGTTCCAGAGGTGTTCAATTAGGTTTAAATCAGGCAAATAGGAAGGCCATTCCATCACCTAGATTCCATGAGATTCAAACCACTCCTGCGCCTGCTGGGAAGTATAGATTTTAGTGTTATCTTGTTGGAATATCTAGCTAGGTTCATAGATTGGAAGGAGGCCATCTTTAAGGTATTTTAGATAAGAATTAGTGCTGTACCCCCCCCCTGAGGAGCCAGCTCATCATAATCTATAATAATTAGATCTGAACAGCCTCCAATCCAGATTACACCCCATATCATCTGTAAAATATCCTTCCCATGGTTAACTAGATTGACTAGATCATTCCGGTATGCCTCATTGGAGAATTAAAAGATAAATTAGGTGGAATTATTTAGCTTTCTTTAGACTAAATATTCATCAGAAAATATCACTTCTTCCCATCAAGGGAAGTTAAGCCATATATGCATAAATTTATACTGTTCTTTGACTATTTTAGGCTTTAAAGGGATTCTCTTCTTGCTCTTCCACTTCTTAAGGTTATATTTCCTTAAAATACATTAAATAGTTGACTTAAATACCCCTCCCAGGGTGCTAGCAACCAGGGCCTTCTAGCTCATAGAGGGCCTCCGCCGGACCATCTGGTAGATATAACACTTAGTAGAGGCACTAAGCTTATGGGGTCTACCAGCGCGAGGCCTTGATCTCAAGGTTTGGTGCTGTTCATAGCGTTTCTTAGTATTGTAAATGGTGCGCGTGATTCAGAAGATAGTTCAGCTTTAGGCCTTCTATTTCTACTAATTTCGGTCCCAAAAGACCTCATTTTGATGGAATAGATAGTGGTTGAAAAGAATGTTGATTTTTTGACGCGTCGTGGATACGCGGAGTGTGCACAGACTTTTGACCCCTGATGTAGTAATGATAACCCTCAATTTGAAGTATCATATCTCTGCAGCAAGGTAAGAGCGGTTTAAACACGAGTTTTGGTGGTCTGGAGGTTGGGACAAATGATTTTTGAATGCGTCAGGGGGGAAAATTGACAACAAGGAGGATCAATCTGGTTATGATCTGCAGGTAATGGCAATTATTTAGTATAAACCCACGACGTTAAGATTTGGATGCTAAAATTGTACCAGACAACGCTAGAAGTGGAAAGGGAGGATCTTGGTTCAGGCTCCACCATTGACAGATCTGTTTCTTGTGTTGGGGAATATAGTGATATTATGATATATATGCTAGCGAGGACCCGCCCAGTCTAGTCAGGCACTGCCCGGTACTTCCCCCGTATGCATTCAAGTCCTATCAGACACTGCTGCGCGTGGAGGCTCCTTGCTATTCGCAAGCTCTATAGGTTCGTCTTGAATGTCAAGCTGCACAGTTTTCATAATCTTCCATCCTTGATTGAAGCCAGATTGCTTAGCGGACGCATCCTCCATCAGTTCCCAGCCATTAAACTGATTGACTCCGGCAGATGTCCGGCGACGGATCTTGCGAGTAATACTGTCCGCCGAGGCTTGTCCCCTCGACTTTGAAACCGACACAGACGCGCTCTCTGTGTACGCGAATCCATTTCCATCCACATAGACGGCCATGAAAGATTTGAGGAAGGCGGATACTAAGCAGACGACGCTCATGGCAAGGTATAGCTCGGTTGTCACCGTGGCAAAGGCTCCCTGGAGGACTGGATCGTCGGACTCGATTTGCGCTTGGGTATAGTGGAGACGGATGGCTGCGAGGGGCACGAGTCTAGCAGATTGGAAGGTCAGCGGAAGGATCATTGGAAGCCGGTGAGCGACTCACACAATTCGACAACCCAAAACGCAGAGGACCAAGAATTTCTTCTTGCTGGATATCCGGACCTTGTATATTGCTAGCGCTGAATAGAGGAAGAGCAGGATCTCGATGATTATATCCATCGCGGTGATGGCTTGCCACCGGGGAAGCTATTTGAGCAGTTAGTATATGCCTGTACCGAGGACGGGTCAGATTATACAAGCCCCTTGCACTGCGCGCTGATGTCGTTCCATGGATCATGACTACAACGCACTGCTAGCAGTATGATAGCCACCAATGTCCAGACGACCACTCCCCCGAGTACTGCTTTGATCAGGAGACACCGGACTTGTGAGAAGAGCACCTCGTAAAACATCGAGGTGGTGATCTTGGAGAGACCTAGGACAACGATGCAGAGAATGTCGGCGGCATATGCGGCCTTCCAGGTGAGAATCACGAGACAGAGATCACTAGATCACCACATACCTTAAGCATTCGATCTGTGTCTGCCGCCGTTAACTCTGTCCGAGTCCCCCAGCCATAATGGACCTGCGTGAAAACCACCGACACTTGAGCCAAAGCGAGAATCTAGTAAATATAAGCTCAGAACCCTTTATTGATGCTAGTTGTCATTCGAATACATACCACGGCCATACCAAATAAGTAGTCATCTCGCTGCACGGTATGCTTTTTATATGAAGAGAAGACCCGTGATGCCAGAGCGGCCACCACCAGCACTAAAGAGAAGGCCGTGATTGAAACAATCAATGCGCTATGATTGTTGTTATTCTCGACAGTGAGAGGGGCGCTCACGCCAGATGGCCAGGCTGTAGGAGTCGACATGATGAGGATGTACGGAGTACGCTCAATACGATCACCGGAGAGGACATGGCAGAGCCGACAACAGAATAAATATCAAAAGGCGCTTCCTTCGATGGTCTCTTCTGCTCATCTCTTTTCAGGATAAACTTCTGCAGGGGCCAGAAAATTCATCATCAATACAGTAACACAAGTTCGTGGACTAAGATGGGATTTGTCTAGCCTCCTGCACTGTTGCATACGCAATATCATACGATCAGGATGACTGACCCACAATTTCGATCTACGGTAGCATCCTCGCCTTACTCGCCAAGACCAGAACAGCACTGGTCTCCGTTCTCCTGACCAGGGTGTCTGCTGTAGCGCAATCGAGATCGTGCACATCAAGCCATGTGGGTGAAGAATCAGAATGACGGGGTTACTGAGCACCTGATTGTTTGATACTGAAAGTCTATGTCTCTTCATTTTGCCATCACTTTCTGAAGACTTAAACCATCTTGAAGTCTCTTTTGTGAGATGGTATTTGTCGTAATGCATTTCTCTATATTAACGGCCGAGGAGCAACCACCCCACTTGGTTAACACACTAAGGATTCCACCAAGGGAGCTAGGAATCACTTTGATTAACTTGATTATACTTTGCAGTGGCGACGAATCCACAATAATAGCATGGCAGGACGGAAAATTCTGGATAACAGACAAGGTTAAATCGACCTTGAATCGACGGTACCCTCTCGCATATTTGAAGACACTCCCGGCCCCGAAGCCGAATACTTAGACTAGATTGCAGGATTTAATTCCGTCGCTAGCTTGCCCCCTTGTCCAGCCTGGTAACGATTCTCTTTTCCTTCTTTTGCTCTTTCCTCGGCCCCCATAGCTGTACCCTTCCGTTGGTCCATTTATTCCTTTGAGAGGGTTCACAGTGACCGCCTGAGCCTTGTGAAGATGCATAACAAAGCCTCAGCGGTAGAAGCAATTCAGATGGACGATCACGGTCCAATGGACCATAACGGCCTAAGAGAAGCCGGAACCGCGTCCGACGACACTGATATGCAACGGATGGGAAAAGTCCAACAGCTCAAGGTGACTGCTCGGCCATAATCTAGTACGGTGCTGTCTAACGTCTTTTGAAAGAGAAACTTGCGACCCTTGGCCGCATTGAGCTTTGCATCAGTTCTTCAAGCAACATGGGAGTTTATCCTTATGTGAGTTGTCTCCGATTCAACGACGGAGGGCATTTTGACAGAGGTTGCGGTTACAGCTCGAACTCTCAGGGCCTGGAGAACGGAGGCCTGGCGGGTATGTTCTGGTCATATGTCTGGACGTTTGTCGGATTTGGCTTCATCATCGCTTCGCTGTCGGAAATGGCGTCTATGTATGACACCTCTAATTTGGTCTGCTGTCAATAACCCTGACTTGCTGCATCGTTAGGGCACCAACCTCGGGTGGGCAGTACCATTGGGTCTCTGAGTTTGCATCTCCTAGATACCAAAAGTTCCTCAGCTATATTACGGGTAGGCTCCGCCTTGCCCGCATTAAAGCCAGCGCGCTCTGATTTGATTGTGTTTCTGCAATGTAGGTTGGATGTCTGTATTAGCGTGGCAAGCCGGATCCGCCTCGGGATCCTTTCTCACCGGCACCATTATCCAGGGTCTAACCAGCGTTCGCAATCCTGAGTATGTGGCGGAGAACTGGCAGGGCACGCTGTTTGTCTTTGCGATGATCCTGGTGATCTACGTGTTCAATGTGTATGCGGCCAATGTGATGCCCCTCCTGAATAATCTCCTCATGATACTGCATATTCTGTCCTGGGCGGTGGTGGTCATTGTCCTCTGGGCCATGGCTCCCCATCAATCGGCCAAGACTGTCTTTATCACCGGATGGACAAATCTGGGAGGATGGTCTAGCATGGGATTGAGCGTCATGATCGGACAAATCTCCGCAATCTATGGCTCTCTGAGTATGTACCACGTCTCATGATCTCGCCCGAAGATATATCTCTAATAATGCTGTAGGTTCCGACGCTACAGCTCACATGTCTGAAGAGGTCAAAGACGCAGGCCGAAATGTACCTATGGCCATTGCCTGGGGCTATTTTAGCAACGGTATCATGGCAGTCGTACTGCTGATTGCCTACCTCTTCGCCATCCCATCCGTGGAAGATGCGCTGGATGATGCAACTGGCTTTCCCTTTATCTACGTCTTCAAGAACGCTACCTCAACAGCGGGAGTAAACGGTCTGACGGCAATCATTTTACTACCCGTTATCTTCAGCAATATCCTGTTCAACGCCTCAACGTCCCGCCAAACCTTTGCTTTCGCTCGCGATAAGGGGCTCCCGTTCGCCTCCTGGATCGCCAAGGTTGACCCAAAGCGCAAGATCCCCGTGAACGCAATCGCCCTGTCCTGCCTCATCAGCTGTCTCCTCTCCCTCATCAACATTGGATCATTAACAGCATTCAACGCAATCATTTCCCTCAACGTGGCAGCTCTGATGTACACCTACATCGTCTCCATCAGCTGCGTGATCTACCGCAAGATCCGACATCCCGAGACTCTCCCGCCCTGTCAGTGGAATATGGGACGATGGGGGTTAGCCGTGAACATCATCGGGCTGCTCTACTGCTGTTTTGCGCTTTTCTGGTCCCTGTGGCCTAGTGAGACGTCCGTGACTCTGGACAACTTTAACTGGAGCGTGGTGATTTTCGGAGGCGTCTTTACCATCAGTCTCGTCATGTACCTCGTCAAGGGGCGGAAGGAGTATTCTGGGCCCGTGGTGATTGTGAAGCCGCAGCAGTAGGTCTTTGGTATTCGAGTATGCCAGTATTCGATATCCTAATATAAATGCTGTTTGATACTCGTGGAGACAGTTGCACTTGTGCGAACGTCTATTACAGCTGAGTTAATTCAACACCAAGGGGGGCAGAAGACACCTATCGTAGAACAGGGGGAATCCCCGCGCACTACATCGTGCGTAATCTAATGGACCTTGATTGACAAGCGTTCAAGCGGACATCCATTCAACATGGTGTGAGTGGAAACATGCCGTCTAAGTTCCCGTCCAGCGGCGTTCCTGTCCATCAGAGAATGAACAAACCGTCCATGGGCTTATCTATAGGTGAGCTGAGTGAGATGTCTAATGCACTGAAATTTATCATGTGGAATTCTGTTCCTTTGCCTGGAGAGCATTCTTACTGCTAGAGCTTACTCATTCCTTGTCTATAATAATTGCTATGTACTGCAACTATATCATTGTGTGCCTGTAAACCTTGTGGCACATTGTGCTTAGAGTTATATAACTGAACTGCTAAAATCAAATCCAACCCTCACTGAACTCACAGCAGTGAGGGTTCAGTTCCTAGCCTAGGGAATTACACTGGTTTTTGGTTTCCCTAGGGTGAAACTGATTTGAGTAACGAGTTTAGTTAAAACCATTAGTTATAGTTTTTGAGGATTTATTAGATAATCCTAACTAGGTTATCTAAAACCTAGCTAGGTTCTATATAAAAGCCTAGAACCTAACTTAGAAAGTTAGAATACCCCCCTTAAGCCTAAAGCCCAGCCTAAGTTAGGTTTAATATATACTTTAATTAGGTTACCCAGAACTCCTGCCTAAGTTTATTCCTGTGTTAGGTATAGGAGGGAGAAATTATATTAATTCACTTAGAAAAGTCTGATAGCACTAGTTCTATGCAATTCATACTATATTGGAATATTCGTCGTCGCAAGGGACGTGGAGCCTTCGAAGAGTGCGAGGGTAGGGGTAGGCCAGCGGCCGCCCCGTCCATGTCCCGCCAACTTCGATGGATTGCAGTTAGAGTTGCATTTGGTGCGAGTTCGGGTTTAACCTTAGTTGGCACCGAACCGCTGCGATTTCGGGTCGAAAATTTAGAAACCGCGACCAAATCGAACCCGGTGCGATTTGGTTGCAGATTCACCGCAAAAACCCGCTGCTAGGCCTAGCTAGGCCTAGCTAGGCCAATCATAACTAACCATGGTTAGATTTGGTTCAGTTTCGGTTTGGTTAAACCACAAATTTTAACCATTTTGCCTTCCCCCTAAAGCCCCCTTCAGGGACCCCCTCTAAGGCCCCCTATTAAGCATGCTTATATAAAATCATTATTTTTATATGAAATATATGGTAATTATTATCATACTAATCTAGATCTAAAATATCGATTCAATATCTATAGGTTTGAATGGGTGGTGGTTAAAAATCATTTAAAAGGTATAATAGTTATTAGACCTTGGTGCCCTTATATATAGATCTCCGCACTACTTTCATACCAACCTATAGCAGAGATGATTATTCCCTTATATCTCAGCAACCACTAGGTATTTTTTAATGATTTTGATATCATTAAAAAGTCTATAGAACTCAGTGATTTCTAGGTAAAATGGTGTGGGTTAGTTAAACCTAATAGTTAAACCCTCAAAAACTGTAACCAATGCTTTAGGCCTGGGGTAGGGAACCCAAACCCAAAGCAATTTCCTAGGCTTGCCCCCCCCCCGGCTGCGAGTTCAGTGAGGGTTGGATTCGATTTTTGCGGTTCGATTATGCCACTCTAATTCCAGTCTTCTTTTATATTTCGACCTAAGCTATGAAGGAATGTAAGGTCTAACTAGCTATGTGCAACCGATGACGACTACCAAATATCACTGCACACCTAATAGACTCCTTCGGAGTTATATCACAATATTATCTATAAGAAGAAGAATTAATAGTTAGTTAAGCTCCTAGATAAGTAGAAATTCCATTCTTATAAAAAGTAAGGATTGTTAGGTGGATATAATAAGTAATAACTTTTAGGTGTAAAAGGAGGTGGTATAGACTATATACTAACATACTAAGCCTTAGCTATGTGCTTTCTCTGAATAGGAATGCTATACACCATCACTAAAGACTACAGAGTAGTCACTAATGAAATACTGTGTGGCATGGGCTCAGCCATAAAAGTCCCTATGTGGGCCACCCGCCCTAAACACTGAGGCTGACGGCACCTATGGTAAGGAAAACAAGATGTCTAGTACCTATTTAAACATGTTGGTTCCTTGCGAGGAGAAGACGGAATGCTGATTTTTTCAGGCATTCAGGTAACGGACCTGCCAACAAATGTATACAACGGGCACCCTTGCGGCAACAACGCCACCAAGCAGAATATGTGTCTTCTGTCGGTGATCCGGTAGATAATGGAAATGCATCGAATGGCTTCAAACTCCAGTATGTGCGTCGGGACATATGTGCGGGCTCATGCGGTTGAGACTTCCGGGTTACTCTGGTCTCCGGACATGATGAGAGCCCGTGGCTGCACGGATGCGTGTTGATCCACACAGCGTCTGGAAACTCTTTCGAGCGAGGTCGTCGACCTAGAGTCAAAACAATGAGATTACCTCCCGGGCTTTCACGAAGAGTGGCAGGTTTTTCTATGTCCAATATTTGGTCGTTGACACTCCCGCCTTGTTAATTGGTATTGTTGACGTTATGCCTTTGGCTCATTGGACGCCGATGACGGATTCTTCTAGGCTTTGCTGTCCCACGCCACCCTTTTAGGGGTAATTGTGAAGTCTTTCGGTGAGGACTACCTTCCGCAGGTAAGGAACTTCAAGCTGCTGTACCCGATTTTGTCTAACAAGAATAGGTGATGAGACATGATTGAGGGATTGCTTACTACTCCCGATTCAGCCCATCATATGCCAAGCTAGTTGACAGCACACTGTATTCGCGCAAAAAATAGTAGCATACATAAAATGATGTTATAAGGAAGAGAAAGATAAGATACAAAGACCAACATCTCAGTAGCAGTCAATGTCAAAGTGCCAGCCCAGGGTCTCGCCAAGTATGGAACAGCAAGGCTGTTGGATTAGACGGAGGTAATCCCTAGTAGCTGGAACAGAAAGCGCATTTGCTTCTCTAAGCCTACTGGGTCATAAAAGCAGGCTATTTCACACGCAATCGCTTCCAGCCCCGCGCTTCGCTACTGCACAGCAGCGATCTCTTGATGTTGGTTACGCGATTTTCTCCCCAGCCGACTGAACTTAAGCACGGCTAGGAGAGGCCAAGGGTAACATCTCTCCAACAAAGCTAAGATTAGCACCATTCCCATAGCATACTAAGCTAGATAGTATATCTGACCCCCTAGAAACTAGACATACCTAAGTCTCTTAATATAACTCTTAAGATCCATAATTTCTTTCTTATACTAAAGCATTCATTCAGTTCAGTCTCGGGCCACGACTACGCAGCATAACAAACACTACTTAGACTTGTTCAGAATAAGGCTCACCAACAAGTTCAAGGAAAGCTAGACAAAAAAAGCACATGAAGATTAACTGCTCGATAGGACATGTAGGCAGAGGGCGTAACAACATGCAGTCCGCGCAAGGTTCTCTCCAACTAGACCACAAGCTCACTTTGAAGCTAACCGATGGTGGACTCAGCATAGATCGTACCTGTAAGACGTGGGGCCACCGCAACACCATGATAGAGGGCACTTAACCCAACGAGCCTTCCCTCTAGGCTCTCATAGTGGGCTTATACGTAAAATCTGCAATTTTGCTTAGTATCCCTTAACTTTCCATAGGAGTTCCGGAAGCATCATGGAGACAGTCATAGCAATTAAAGACAGGTGTTTGTTCGTAGTACTTTAATGCTCATAAATAGGAAGATACGTAGGATCATGCCTTGGAGGCTTTACCTCGCTAAGGCAGTAGCAGCACGGCCACACGTGATGCATGCATTAGCAGCATTACCCCTCTTCCATTGTCATGATCTTACACGAAATAAGTGCTACCAGAGCCAGAGCAGTATTCCTACTGTCTGATATTGATAGCGTGCGAAAATGGCTTAGAGAAAGACAAGCATTCATTCAACAATACGCCAAAAGCTAGAGAGACTTCTACTGTATCATGCTACTACCATTCCCTCGAGCAAAAACAAAAGGAAACTCTGCAGAATCTTTTGAGCATCAGCCGAACGCTTGCTTTGGGGGAATCCCCAGACGTCTTGGGTGGCAACGACCCAAACGGTTTCCAGTTCTGGGAAAGGTTCACTATGATCGAGATACTCAGCTCTAATATCGACTTACAACTGAAGAAGATCCAACAGGAAAAGAGGAAGAAGGAGGAAGTGAGGGAGAAGAATCGGAAGAATCTTGAAAATACCCTTGAGAAGCTTGAAGTTGTCGTGCGCACCCTTGTACGACAAAATTCCATCCTGAAAGCGGAAAATGCTGTTTGGAACAGGCAGCTTCTGGATGTTGGTCTTCAACCTCGGAATGTGTCTTTCCACGGCGTCCTTAAACGAAGGTTGTGTTCCAAATATCCATATTCCTACAAGGATCTCTCGACTAATGGTCATTTATTTCAAAGCCCTGCGAACCCGTTGAACCCCCCTTCGGAACAACAGGACGATACAGGCCCAAACCTTCCGAGTCATCCGCGGTTGAGTGCATCCCAGTTGAAATTTCGCATGACGGGCCACGAAAGCCGGACCAAGGGGAGCAAAACTGTTCATAGTCCTGATCAACTTACAGCCGTCCCTGAAGGTCCAGACAGCCCTTCATCGAATACAAGCCTTTGCGCAACAAAGGGCGGTCTAAACGATATCATAAGTACCAGACCTGAAATCATACGTTTCCCCAGCCCCAACCACAAATAGGACTGGGTCGTGCCCAGCATTTGCGTATACCTTTAGTGACAATCTTGTGATAACCCCTAACGCACTATACAATCCCAACATTCGAAACACAAATTCGTCTCCCGAATCAAGAAGCGTGAGCGCTTACTCGGGGAGCCATACTG